ATCTAATTTAATAATAATTTAAGTTTAATAATTACCCCAAAAGGCAGGAAGCACACGCCATTGCACATTGCAAAGAAAGGAATTAAAGGAAGCTGGGCTGGCTCTATCCTCTGTGTCCTTTGATGCTGGCATGGGGTCACACAGGATTCACCTACCTCTCCAGCAAGAACTACTAAACTATACCTGCTTAAAATGTAAGGCTTAATAGCAGAGCATCTGCTACTGCAGCATAATAAAAATGTATTGACCCAAGACAAGGATTTATTGTAGGTGTAGTAAAATGGGTAAGGAACCAACTGAATGGAAGAGGGAACTAGATTAGGATGAAAAGTAGTTATTAATGATGTTTTGGAACAGCATCTTATTTGATATTTTCATTGATGACAGCACAAAAAATAAGCATACACTAATGAAGTTTGAACATATATTTGAAACTGGGACAAAGTGACAGAATATGAAACGAAATACCAGAATTTTACATAGGGAGAAACTAGTAAAGTGACATCTTAAGTAATGTAAGCACCATGAAATAAACAATTGTCAAGTCATGTGTTTGAGAACCAAGTTGTTTTGCTAAGAAAAAGTGGTCCTCTGGTTAAAAAGAATGACACAAGAGAAAAAGACTGGTAACAGTTTCTGTTTACTAGAGTAATGAGCAGCAACAAAATAAAATTAACAGAACTCCTACTGCCACATTTTTCTAACAGTGGTGACAGATACAACAGAGAATGAAATTTCCTCAGTGCCACAGCATATCATTTCTACAACTTTGCTACAACCATGATGCAGAACTGGAGAGAGTGGAAGGTGATTAGAGAAGACCCAGAACACATCTATGCTGAACACTCCAGCCAAGTGAAAAACCCCCAGGGACTGCAGAGTAAATGAAAGACAAAGCTACAGCACTGCTGGAAGCCTGGGGCTGTGCCTCAGGTCATGCTCAGACAAGCAGCCACACAGAGCCCAGAACCAAGAATTCTTATCCAGAGCAGATTAGGCAAGACCTGTGCCTATTTGCAAGGGCTTAATGAACCTGAAGAACTGCTGGCCTTCCGTGGAAAGTTCTGCAGCTGTTCCCAAAAGCTGCCCTTGGCCAGCTGCTTGAGAAGGTGCCAGTAGTAAGCCATGCTCTTCTCTCGGACATGAGCAGCTGTCACAACAGGGGCTCCTGGCACAGGCATGCCTGGACTCTGCAATGGTCTTGGTTTGCAACACAATGGAGCAGATCAGCAAAGAATATGCAAAGTTCTGTGTTCCCAGTTCATCAGTTCACGCTGCTGTGTGTCATGATTTCACATCACAGTCATTATCAGGAGTGTCCTTCACTGAGCATCTTTCAAGTAAGGTAAAAGATTTTGTCAATATTAGTCTGATTGCCCTCAAAGTCAGAAGACCTCAGAACACTTGAGAGCAGCAGCACATGGGAGTTTAAATATAAAACTAGTTGCAGCTCTCAGTGAGTAAACAACAGGTACAAGGTGAGTTTTTTTAACTTCCCTGGCTATTCTGAAGGTTTGTATGCTTGGATTTTATATCTCAACATTTATTTGCTAAGAAAGAAGCTTGAGAATTTCTCCTGTTTTTTCTTTAGCTCACAAGTTGAAGCTGTGATAGGTGGCAGATCCATCCAGACAACAAAGCAAATGAACATTGGCATTACAAAAAGGGCCCAAGTCTTACAAACATTGATTACTGAAAGTAGTTTATTGCTTTCTCCAGTCTCATTGATCCTGAATGCATATTCACAAAGGGAAGAGCTCCAGACATGTCACTCACAGGTACAACTGTGACCAGAAAGTTTCTTCTGCAGGCAGCATCTGCCAGTGCCAGTTGCCCAAAGGAGTGCCATAGACTGGTGTTTTCTTGCTCATTTTTCAAGCAATTTTATTAATCAAAATCAGGTTCAACTTCTTCAAAAAGCTGAATGGATCTCAAAGGGTCTGTCTCAAGACTAAGGGAAGTTTTCAAACATACCAAAAGAACAACACCTCTTCCCCAACAGCACTTTTGATTAATAAGATGAAGCAAATATGTTTTACAGGTTTACAAAAGATAACAGCAAGAAATGTCCTATTTATTTGGATCTTTCAAACATAAGGAAAATTTAGATTTAAATCTTTGCAAGAATAAAGTTTGGAATGAGAAGAGCAAATAAAACATAGAACTCCTTTGATATTCTTGTGAAATTTGCCACAAAGGCCTAAGGAGAAAGCCCTGAGAGACCTTGGCTCAAGGAATCCCAACACCATTATTTGTGTTGTAGAAAGACAATGTTTTTTCATGGCAGAGCAGTTTAGTAGAGCCAGACTAGAAATTGAGCTGAAATATGTTCACCAGCTGCAGGACTAACAGAAAATTATTTCAACCCTCTTAAAAACCACTTGAGTACCAACCACCAGGAAGACAAAGGTTTTTCTTTAAATTTTTTACCTTTCCTAGCAGTATCACCTTGGAGCTCTTCAAAGGAAATCCACATATTTCTGATGTTGATGGAATGACCTTTATTTCCTTCAGGCATAGGGCTATTGCATCTGTACCATGAATTCCATGAAAAAAGCAAAATTATATACTGAAGAAAAACAAGGCAGTAAATTTGGATTCTTTTCTAATCTAATGATATGAGCAAATACTGAGAGACTGAGAAGCAGAAAAAAGAAACTTATTTACATATTCATTGAGTAATTTGTATAATCAGAAGATTTAAAAGGTCATTACCGGAACACCTGCCTGTTAACAGATGTAGAAGAATGCAGGCCAAAGAACACAGTTTTTATAAAGATGTTGATAGATAAACAGTTGGCAGATCTGCAGCTACCTGCTGGGGCAGCATTAGTTCCTTTGGTCAGGCCACTGCTGTGGATGAGGTAAACCTGGAACCTATGAATCCATGCACACACTGTCTATCCTTTTGCAAAGCTTGCCAGTTGTTTATTAAGAACTGCATTGCTTTCAAATATCAACATTCCAGCTAAAACAGTTTTTATCTAGTAGGGAAGTTTTCTGTACTGAGGGCAACTATGGCTATGATGTTTGCAGACAGCAGATATTGAGAAAAACCTTAGTCTCTTACCACAGAAAGAAAACCAGCAGAGTAGATGCCTGTTTAGACAGATGGGAGGTACAGCTTTGCACAAATCTTAATCAAGAATGAAGAGTCCATCTTAATTTGGCCAAATTGGTTAACTTCAGTGTCAGTGCCACTCAAGTAACATTGGAGACTCAATAGCCATTTGCACAGGCCCACCCTGAGAATCACTTCACTTAACTGTAGACAACCAAGTGCTACAAGTCCAGGTCTCCAGGTCTAAGCTGGAGGGTGCGACTTTGGTCTGTGGCTGAATAGTTTTTTGGAGATTTCTATCAAATCTCCTAAACCAGACAAAACTAAAGCATCAGGAGGTGTGGTTCTAGCCGAGAGAAATTCCTTCACAGTAGCTGGCATAGGGCTGTGTTTTGGATGTATGCTGATAACATAAGGATGTTTCAGCTATTGCTGAGCAGGGCTTACACAACATCATGGCCTCTCTGTCTCACCCCACCCCTAAGGAGGCTAGGAGTGCATCAGGAGTGTGGAGGGGACACAGCTGGGACAGGAGACCCCAAGTGACCAAAGGGATGTCATACCACATGGCACCATGCTCAGCAATAAACTGGGGAGAGGTTGTGAGGAGGACACTGCCTAGGGACTGGCTGGGTGGTTTTATTTCCCTCTCTTTTTATCTCTTTTCCTCACAATTTGAAAAATTTTCCTAATTATTCAACTGTTTCTTTTTGATTTGTACCCTTTCAGTCCTGCCCCCATGTCTGAAGGGGAGGAGGCACTGAGGTGGTGCCTGGCTGCTGGCTGGGCTTGAACCACCCCATGAGCTCAGACAGGTAATTTACAGGTATCGCCATTAAGGCAAAATAACATTGTGCAATCAGCATTCTTTAGACAGATGGGAGGTACAGCTTTGCACAAATCTTAATCAAGAATGAAGACTCTGTCTTAGTCTTGGGAGAGCATGGAGAAAATTAAATAAGTGGCTTAGATGCCTGCATTATCTGCATCATTAGTACTAACTTATCAAAATAGCCAACTTTTTTAAAAATAGCTAAATATAAAATAATTTATATATTACTTAAATATGTATTTAATAGTTAAGACACCTTCCCCTAGTGGAGTGGGTACTGAATCACCTGAATATTCAAATCATGAGGAAGCTCAGGGAGAATCTGATCCAATCCCCAGCTCAGCAGGGTTAAGTCCAAAGCTGTGATACCATGGAAGGTCAGAGTCCTCCTTGTCAGCCAAGTTCTGCACATCTCCAAGGATGGGTATTCCCACAGGTTTTCTGAGTAACCTCTTCCAGTTCAAATTCACTCTCATAATGATTGTTTTTCATGTCCAACAGGAAACTCTTGCTCAAGTTGTTTCTGTAGCCTCATATTCTCCTCCATTCATCTCTGGGGAAAGTCTGTCCTTTATCTTCCTGCAGGCAGGTGCAGGCAGCAAGAAGCTGCCCTCGTGCAGGTGCCTGCGTGAGTGGTGTAGGATTTGTCCATCAGGTCCAGGTCTTTGCTGAACAGCAGGAGATGCCCCTCGGTGTCAGCTGTGGCTCCCAGCTGCTGTCATCTGCCATCAGTCCAAGGCTGCTGCTCACCCTGTCACCAATCAGCCCTGGCAGCAGGGCCTGCCCTCAGCAGTGCCACACCCACAGCTGCCAGTGTGGCAATCTCAACCCTTAGCAGATTATTCTTCTACTCTGATGGTCCAGCCAGTTTCCCACTCATCTTCCAAGTCTACCCCTCCATCCCATCTCCCTCCAGTTTGGCTCTAAGGATACAAGACTGTGTAAAAGTCTTCACCAAGGATAGGAAACAGGACATTCTGTGCTCTCTCTTGTTCTACAAAAGGGAAGGAAATCAGGTTGATAAGGCAGAGTTTGTCCTTGGTAAAGCCATGATGGCTATTCCAAATCACCATTTTGACCCTCACATACCTCCAAGTAAGACTCATTTCCATAACCCTTAGAAATATGGTCTAGTTCTCCCAGGGACTGACCTCAGTCTCAAGAGTATCTCTGATACAATTTTATTTGTTTTACAAAAACAAAGATACAAAAATACTGTTTTTACACTCCCCCCAAGAAGACATTTTTATACAGAATAATAACTTTGCAGCTGTTGAAAAATCTGTACTATTACATAATTTCTTCTATACATTTTTATACATTTTGCTTGCTTTAAATGAAACAATCTTAAACAATTCACAAGTTTACAATACAAGTTTTTTAAAAAGCAATACATCTTCCTTCAATTTTCATGACAAAAGCTTCTGTGTGCTCAAGGATTCAAAAACTCATCCAAAATTTTCAGAGATGATTCATACAGGAATCTGAAATGCCATAAAACAATGCATAACAGAATTAGAAATGCTAAATGCCAAATCAATCCTCAGCTATTTGATTCTCAGAGGACAGCTACCACATGATTTCTTTGACCAGTTAGTCCATATTAGTTTAGTAAAATGCCTTTACAAATTACTTTTGAAATAGCTGGATCCTTTTTCTTTCAACTTTTCCATATTTTATGCTGATCAGCTCTGTCTCTAGAATAACCAGGAGCAAACCAGTTTAAATTACTGTGTCAATTCAAGCACATTTTCTAATATTTCATCATCTAGTTAAAGAACCCACTTGTTTTCTGCACAGCATTGTAACTCTTTTGTTCAAACAAAACAGTGAAATCCTTTACAGGTAATTCATTCTAAGATCACTTTTCATTCTTTTACTTTCTTCATTTCTTCCTCTCTGTTCAGTCTTTATAATTTTTGTTCTCACCCGTGGCAACTTTTTTTCCCAGCCTGAGCTTTCTATCTTATCCTTATTAGCAGCTGCCTCATCCAGCTGCCCTCACCCTCCTCTTAGTCCGGCTCTGACTCTAATTACACACTCCTCTCTACAGTGCCACAGCCTTTAAACCAGAATGAAACTCCAGTGTCCAAGTAAGGTAGTGCTACAAGGTACTGCAGAATGTGAATAATTAGTTAAGTTCTGTGGGTTTAGGTGCAATGCTGCTTTGTATAAATTTTATTTTGTTACAGTTTAAGGCTAAAAAAACCAATGGATTTTTAATATGGGACCATTGGCACAATGGCCAAAAGGCATCAATTGGGATAACTGTGCTCTTCCCAAACAGACAAGCTGAAGTCAGTTTTACCAAGTACCTTTCTAGAGAATTTAAAGATGGGAGGCAGAGAAATCATACCCAGAGTTATAAACCAAAACAATTCAAGAGCCATAATTTACACATGCAATGAGAGTGCAATTAAGAATTTGGGAGCTAGCTAAATAATAATACTAAAGAAATATCTTTCAGCACAGCCATTAGCTAAATTTAAATTCTAATACTCATATATCAAAATGCTAAATAAAGTAAATACACAGTATTAAGTAAGAGTTATTATCCTATAGCACATTAGGTTTTACAGAACGTTAGACATTTTTCTTTAGCCTCCAAATGGCTGCATTGACAGCTTTATCTGCATTTTTTGTGTTAGGCATAAGTATTTGCATTTTATAAACCAAATTAATGTGCGTGCCATTACTTTTGAGGAAATTCTCTCAATATACAGTATGTTGTCCAGAGTTTTTAAATGCACTGAACAGCATTTTAAAAATGCAGACCCACAGGACCATCTGAAACCACTAACTCAGCTGAAAAGGGAAGACTAAATTGCACTGAAAAGTTTTGCTTCTGAATTAGTACGACAATTAGTGCGACAGCACCTTAATTACTATACTAGACAGCATTTTTACTTTTTTCTTTCATTGCTAATATGTAAGAGATTACTCCTAAGTCTGAAGTTAAGATGCTGGCACAGAATACCAGTTCTCTTGGGAAATTAAAGAATGTCACCATTTCCTGGTATACCTGGATATTGAATAAAATAATCCCTCAAGGAGTTATTAGGAGATAATGCATTCAGAAGCAAAAAACAGTAATATTATTAAGAATGAGTTAAAACCCAGTAATGTATTTTAGCAAGCAGCAGCACAGTAGTGTGTGTCAGAGGTCTGTCATCATATTAATGACCAGAGATATAGCTTGCAGCATACCATAACTAAACTTTGGTAAGTTGAGTAGGATGATAAAATAGTTTACAAACAATAGGGCATGCTTCAGACCATGTATAATCACATTTTAGCTGTACATTAGCACACAAGCAGCAAAGCACTACAAATGGCACATCAGAAGCCACCAGAGGCCCAGCCTAGTCTGACGTTCTGTCTTAGCTGTGAGACTGCAAGCACACTTTAATTCATCATGTAAAACCTAATCACTGCAGAACTTCCTCCAAACCTCTTTCCAGCATCAATTATTTTACCTTTCTGGAGAGGAAAAATGCCCAACATAACTGTACAAATATGAATCCCCCACAAATTCTGCAAAGCTGTGTGATAGCTTCTGGATTTCATTATAGTACAATTCTGATTCACAGAAAAATCCCATTCCCATTATCATATTCATATCCCTAACCCTTGAATTTTGTCTGCAACTGTCTCCTGGACTGGTATTATACAAAGGTAGCTACTCATACATCATGAAATTAAGACACTGTGTAGCATCTTATACTCTTCATCTGCCCCAACATGCAAGTTGATTTGTCCCAGTTCACTGGGCAGGGACGATCATATAGATTCATAAAGCAATTATCTGTGTTCTCACTGAAATTTATAGTTAGTAGTGCTCTCAAGTGGCAGCAATTATTCACTTTAATGTGCCTATTTATTTAATCATGTTAAGATTCACTTTAATTTAACAGTTTTTTCTACTGTCTTGATTAGAAGTGCAAACTGAAACATGATGCCCTGCTGCTCTCCCTCTTTTCCAGATGATGATGATGATGATGATTATTATTATTATTATTATTAAAAATATTGTAGTAGGATACTTGGAAACCCATCGTAAAATAATTTCAGGGGAAAAAGAATGGGGTTTTATTTATTTATGTTTGATTCTGTTTCTAAGCTAGGTCCTGACCAAAGGCCTTTTTGTTCACAACCAAGCAATTCTCCAGCTTTCCTGCAGGCCTCTTTCAGGTAGGAAGACTCTGGAAGGGTCCCCAGAGCACCATCCTCTGGATGGAGGCACAGTTCAGCCACCAATGTCTATGTCAAGTCACTAAAATGCCAGAGAACAACGTGCCTTAGGCCAGGGATCCACGAGAGCACACTGGGGAAGTGTGCTCAGGCTGGAAGAGCCATGAAGCTCCTATACAATGAGGTTCCTATACAATGGGCTTTTTGGCTTGTTTGGGAGTCTTTGTTTTGGTTTTTTTTTTTTATTTTAAAGTCTGTCTACTCTACAGCCATTGTTTGACTGAATAGTAAGGATCACTAGTTTGAAGAATGAAAGACTGCAAGGGCCTCTGCATGTTCAGGCCTCTGTGGTGCATTGCAAACTTTCTCAGTAACTTTGGATTAATGTCCATAAACCCAGTGTGGTTTCTTCACATTCTGTATTTATGCTTATTAATGGCTCCTTTGCACACTTTTTGATTCCATGGGCTATTCAATAACTAGGCTGAAATCAGATCCCAAATTTTAAGACTTAAGTAAGACACTAAAGGCTAAAGTAATCATCATGATTCTCTAGACAGGGCTGAGATAACTGATTACAAATACAATGCAGTCAATCACTTTCAAAAAATTTTTCACAAAAGATATACCAGATATGACAGTTGAAATCCCCCCCACCAAAAAAAGCAAAATAAAATCACCTGTGGAAAGGTCTCAAAGTCATTGTTATACTCAGGTAAATATTTCCTGCCTGCATAGGTTTGGATTCATATATCCAATGCCAAAGTGTGGGAGAAAAATCTTCTAGTAATAAGAAATAGTAACTGGACTATTTGTTTTGTTCTACCCCTGCTGCAAACAGACCTGGACTTCAGAAGTGAATCCTGCAATATACAGGATCAAGTGATAACACATTCAAATTAAATGAAAAAAGCCCGAAGCTAAATATGTAAAGATTGCAATCACAGCAGATATAAGGGCAGGAAATTTAATACTGTGCAGGGCTCAATACCTCCCACTTCCCCCCCCTCAGTGTTTTAAACCTTGCAGTCAATCACTCAGAATGTTCTAACAGTGTTACGTAAGTACAGAACAGAACCAATTATTGCAGAGAGGGGATAGGAGAGCTCAGTGCTCCTTTCCCACTGTACACCTACCTTTCAGCACTGCTGAATTCTCCTGTGGCAGCATCCTTGCATACTATCAATTTCCTTTGAATGGCAGGTGCAATATCCTTTAGAAGTGAAGTTTTGTGCTTACCACCTATTTGAAACGAGTTGAAATGTTGGACAACAATAATATTTTTTCAAGAAAACAACCCCACCCTTCCATATTTTCATAGACTAACTTTAACCATAGAAGATTGCTTAATGGAAGATTAGATATTAAATTGGATTTTCACTGTCCTGGATTAACTACTGTGTGTTTCAATGTAGTACATAAAAAGAAAGATGGAAAAAGGACAAAAATGTTTTAACTGACCTTTAATTATATTCACAATGCAGACAGTAGCTGTTAGACTAAAAATCCCTTCGATTCCTTCAGAGAGAATGTACTCCATTAATTCATTTAAAATTGACCTAAGGCAAAAAATAAAAAATGTGTTATAAACCATATTTCTTTCAAAATAGAACTGAACAGAACATATTTGTAATTATGCTACCCTGCCACCACAGCTTCAAAGATGTGCAAACCATGCAGGACAAAGCAGTGTGATTGGGTAACTGAAAACCATGTGTCTCTGGAACTGAGAATATCAAAGCATGGTAAATTGCTTGGGAAGAAAATAAGAAAGTCTGCAAACAGAAAAACTGGCTGTTAAGAAAATTGAAGAGCTTGTGGTATATTTTAGGAAAGTCGATCCATGAAAAAAACAGTGGTTCTACTGGAATTTAATTCACAGAATTTGTACTGAAATTTCTAACTCAAATTTCTACTGAAGTTAGAAAAAATATATTCTATAGCTCCACTGGTATGTAACTCCATTGCTAGTACCTACTCAGACTTAACATTTTGACCTTAAATGTGTTTCTCATTAATATTAAAATAGATGATCTTCCAATTACAACCCAGTGAAGATAATTTTTAACTAAACAATGTCCTGAAACACTTCCAAGCAACATTTTCTTTACTGAAACTAAATAACTGAATAGCAGGACCATGACAGCAGCTCCTTGTAAAATACTAACCCAATATGTATCTTAAGAGATTTTTTCACCTCTAGCATGAGATGAAAGTATTACCAGCAAACTCTAGTGGTGTTTTGGGATATATGTCAAGGTAAGAGAAATGAAATGAGAGTCACAGATGAGGTCTAACAACCAAACTGAACTGCACTAGGGAATAAGTCAATACCACAGGATGGAAACAGTAACTGGTCATTAGTGTTTGTGGTAAAAATCCCAAATTTAACTCAGAAGCAATTCTCAAAACCAGAGAAAAATAAAAGAACAAGATGGATAAAACAGGAGATGGAAGAGATCCTGGTATCCTCAGAGCACATAGCTAAATGTTCTGTGATCAGCTAAAGGGGAAACTGAGAGCAGCAATTTTACATTACAGTAACTTTCCCTAACATATTTCAAAATACCTTTACAATATTATTATCTGTTATGAAAACAGAACATCATACATTGCCAGTTCTGACTTCAATTGTTCTGGCTTTTATTGTGCTAAGATATCAAAATGAAATATAGAGTTAAGAACCAATTCAGTAAAAACCTTCTGCAGAAATTCAAATATTGCTTCTAAGAGCTGAGAAAGATGAAAAATCTTTAGCTTCAGAAATAAGCATTACGAAGTTGCTCAGGCATAGCATCAGTTTCATTGTATCATTGTGGACTAACATGACTAAGCATTGATTCCATTTCACCTTGGCCTTAAATTGCTAACAGACACTACTGGGATCAGAGTCCTGACTTCATTGTTAGCATTGTTTGGGTCACTAAGCACACTCTTAACCCCCATGAAGGAACACTGGAATTTCATTAACCTGTAACAAGACTCACTTCAGCTGCCTTTCCCCACCTCCCTCCAAAAAAAGGTCATATGAGCCTGCAGGCAAAGAAAATAGAACAGAGCAACAAGCTATTTAAAAAAACATATAAGGTTCAGAGGTAAATTCAAAAAACGGTTATTCAACATTTATTTGAATTTAAAAATTAAAATTTTATTGACAACATAAAAACCATTCTATATTAGCAAAAACCTTGAAAAAATTAATATACAACATTAACTGACTTAAAAATTACAGCCATTAAACTGCTTGAAAGAGGGGGAAGGTCTGAAATAGTCTTTATACAGATAGTTTCCTACTAAAATGGAGAATACTCACACAATTGGACAGGCATTGCCAAGCTTCCCACTATTATCACTGCTATGGGGATTGAAATTCAGTGCTAGAGGCTGACTGGTTAGCACTGAAAATAAAACAGATTCTGCAGAACTCAGAGCAAGATGACTGTGAGCTCACAGAGAAGACACATCAGATTTTGTAAAGTCAAAGGCATTCATGTTGACATAAAGATTTCTGAAACACCAAATTATTTGCTACTGGATTCTGATTATAGCCTATCAATACAGATTTATGAAAGAGCCTTAAAAGCAGTCTCAATTCTGAGGCACCAGTAGAACCAGATGGAAATTATCTCCAAATCTTTGCTCCAAAAAGATAAATTATAGAAGATACATTTTTTCCCAAGTACTCAGAAACAATTTGTACCAAACTTGCAGTTTTTTCCACCAAGAATGGACAAGATTCACCTTGATTACTACAAGAAAAAGTTTCAGAAGAATTAACTGATTTTCTGCATCTCTTTTGAAAAGAGATGTGTAAAATAGTTGTTTCACTAGAAGAGAAGACCTTGATGGAGAGCTGCTGCCTCGAGCAAGTGCAAGATTTGGATTGCTGGACTGTTGCTAGAGTCTCTGGAGTCTTTTGTTTTGCAAGTTCAGCTAGAATTAGAGAAGGACTGAGAAGAAAAAAAACACCTCATGACAGGAGAGACAGGGATATTCAATGCCTGTCAGATGAGGAGGCTAAGAAGAGGAATTAGTTGTGGTAAGTCAGGGAGAGAAGTAGGACTTCTAAGCCCCTTTATAATTTAAAACAAGTCTAGTGTGTACAGTCATGTAAAGAAAAATTGAGTATGAACAAACCATGCAAAATGAAATTCAGTTGTGATACTTTTAAAAGATATTCAGAGCCCTCACTAAATATAGCAAATACCCTCCCCCTCAGTTTAAATCTTAAAAAATAAATAACACAAGCTCACTTTTGCAGGCTTTTAGCACTCAGATACTTTCTATGTTGAATGCTGTGACTTTAATACAGCCATAGGTATCTCATTGCAGATGTTCAACTAAAGGATTAATTCTATTTCTGGCAAATATTTTATCTCATCTTAATACCTCTGTGTTGAGGAGACTCAGCTTTATAAGTATCATAATGAAAGAAGCAAGCCAAGATGTATCATTAAAAAACTCATCATGATTAACAGTCTTGTAAATAAGAAGAACTCTTGGTTAAAAAAATGGACTCAACCCCAGCAATCAATATCTACAGGCAGTATGTCAAGAAAAGGGGATTATTAAATAGTCCAAATAAATTTAGAAAGAAACTAGTTCCTCAAAGTTTATTTGAATTCAGAAATTAAAATTTTATTGACAACATATAAACTGTTCTGTATTACCAAAAGCCTAGGAAAAATTATTATAGAAACATTTACCTGACAACATTAACTGACTTCAAAATTATAGCCATTAAACTGCTTGAAAGAGGAGGAAGGTCTGAAATAGTCTTTGGCATAGTCAAGTCTTCTTCACTGGAAGCCTTAAACAGAATAAAAAGTCAACAACCATTATAGCTCAAGAAAGATATGCATGGAGAATATTGTATTTCAATAATTACACTAACCAGGACCTATCCTTAAATAATTAAAACATTCACAAGTATCCTTTGAATAGCTTTAATCCAACTCTGTTGTGTCCAAATAAACAAAACTAATTTAAATAAGAATGACTGAAACTAAACCACATAAACAGTAATTGTAACAAGGCAAATATTCTCTGCAGTTACTTTCACCACAAATTTCATTTAACTACACCCTTTATAAAGGCACAACCTATTAAACACAAATGAGTCCCCTCTGTGGGTCCAACTTGACGTGTGCATCCATGATTTCTAAATGTAACTTCAGAGACAGTGATTTTCTGGATACCTACTCTTTTTGGTATAAAGTTCTGGATAGTATGACAAATATTTAGTTACAAGTGAATTTTGATTTACAACAACCTGGGGGCAGGGAAAACACCAGCTCAGATGAATGACTGGAATAAACAATCTATGAGTATGAACCTCCAGTATATTCAAGCCCAGTAATGTTTCCTCTGCATCATCTGTAAAGAGCACCTGTCACCCTACAGTCTCTCAGCTGATACATCAATATCTGCAGGCAAACAGCTGGTACTCCTTCAGTTCCGGCTGGAACAGACCCTTGAAAGCTGCTCTGTGATACTTTCTGGCAACTGTTTCTTGCTCAGTTTCTGACACATCCAGAACCCACAGCAAAAGTACAGCCTCTACTAAAGAGCCTCAGCTCTTCCTTTTTAGTTCTCAAAGCTTCCAATCTCACTAATCATATTTGCTTCTAACACTATCTGCTTTAGAAAAATGGGATGGGAACACTGCCCTTCTCCTTCAAGGACAGTTGTGGTTCCTTGGACTTTCAGAACATGAAATAACCTCTGTCCAACTTTTTTTTCAATATTAGAGATTCTTTCTTTACTTTCCAAAGCAACACAGATCAGATATTTGGAAATCCTCTGCACCAAAAACCAAAGAAACCCAAAAAAGAGATGCAGCACATGAAATGTCTCTGTATGGAAGCAGAGAATGCCAAGAAGGACATCAGCCTGCTTTGAAAGAGAACTACAGAACCTTATGGGACCATTCCAAGAATATGGAATGGGAATCTGTCACACATCAGTTCACTTCCAAAGTTCCCTAATCTGGGTGAGACAAAGTGAGGTAAGTTTAGAACAAGCCCCTGTTCTCTCCCTGAGCTCTAATTGCTGAACACACATTGTATGGTGTGGCAGAAGCCTTTGATCAGGTTGGGACCACAGTCTTGGCTGTGTCGCCTCTCAGCCTCACACACACAGCCTTTTTTTCAGAGTGAAGGTGAAGGAACCAGGAGACATGAACACTCTGCAAGCACTGCTCAGCAACAGCCAAAACAAACTGGTGTGTCCTCAACACTGTCTTGGCCACAAATGCCAACTACAGCAGCACAGGAACTCCAGGGAGGAAAGCTGACTCCTTCCCAGCCAGTCCCAGTACAAAAGCACAGAGGGAATATTCCAGAACCCACGTTGTTAATTTCCAACACTGCCTAACTGCTAAGTTCTCCTGTCAAATGCAGATACTGAAATAGGTACCCAGACAAGTCTGTTCCTACACAACTGCAGTCAGAAATCTGAGCAATGAACTCTAATATGAAATTATAGCAAATTAAATTTCCTGTTTACTCCATGCCAACACACACAAAAATCCTCATCTGCAATACAAAGACTAATTTTCTGAATAAAGCTCTTTTGCTCCAACATAACACATAAAAAGTGAAAAGTGTTAAATAGAAAAATCAGAATTAACTTTACCTTCTGTAGCACATAATTTATCTCTGCTACTATTGAAGCCAAGAGAGTGGAGAGTATACCCTGGTGAACTGCTGGGAACAAGGAATGCCAGCACTGCAGTGAATGGATGAATTCTCCAAGAGGCATCTGAATAGAGTGAATCAACTAAAACCAGAAAGAAAAACACATATTTCTTTTCATATTGCTTGAGTATAATTGAAATATACCAGCAAGTCTCTCTGTGAAGTGCAGACCACACCTTGAAATCTTTGAGGTATCCTAGTCACACGGGATCAGAGGGGGAATCAGCAACAACTGGGAAGTCTACTCAGAAATTTGAGAGAAATTAACGAGGCAGTGGTTCTTACAAAAAAGAACTGAATGTTTTTTGAGTCCTGAAAAGTAGATTGTCAGATTTCCCAGAATGATCCACCCATTTCACTACTACACATTTAGTATCTGCTTTAAAATATAAGAAGTCAACTTTTCTGTTAAGATGTGAGATTTTCAAGAATTTTAGAACATCATACATATTTTAAAGTTGGTATCATTCTGGCAAAAAGAAATAAATAAGAAAGAAAATTTCTCCTCCCTCCAAGATCATAACATATATAAAAAAAATCCTTTGCTCTGGATTGAGGAAGTTCATCTAATTGCAGATAAGATTAACAACCTAGAAGTACCAGCAAGGTCCAGGATCACTGGAACAGAAGGAATTTGTTCTGCAGTTTACAGGTTCTGCTGTCATGATGAGACCAAAATGGAAAAAAAAAATTGGTAACAAGAAAACTTAGAGAATTCAACTGAAAATTTAATCACATGTCTACCCAAACAGTAAGTCATAGTGAGGTAACAACCCCAAAGTGTCTAAGTATACCCCTTTGCATAAAAATTATGGATTCATCTACACATTAGCAATTACATAGCAATTTGAACTGTAATACGATACCTGAAACCCTTCTTCCTGTTCTTTCTTAAGTCTATGTGCCACACATTCTAAAATTTTCTGAAAGACGTTCTGTAGAGTGTGGAAAAGGTTTGTCACCTCCTCTGTCTCAGTATTCTGATTTAAAGAAGCTTCAATAATTTCTTTTAGCGTACACAGCAACACTGGAGCACAAAAGCCACCTCTCTCTAGAGAAAAATAGTACAATATGAAAGTTGTGATACTCATCAGGTACAAGCTTAGAATGAAACTCAGATACAACACACAGTGATAGTTTAAAAGTGTAGACAATACATTTAGTTTCTGAGAACCCTTAGCTGAAATTTTCATACAGTCCAATTAATATTTTAAGAATGAATCCAGTGTTCCCTCCAACCCTTAAAAGTTAGGGATTAACTAACTTGCCAATACAAGAAAAGTCAGCTAAGTATAAATGTAGTTGTTGCTATTAGTACAAAATAGGGTACCTGTTTGCATAATCAGAAGAGTCATTTCTAAAAGGTGTGCTTGAAACGTGACATTTCCCAGGCCCACCATTATGACATCTTTACACACTGTCAGGTAGGCCTAGAAGAGAGGTGCAAAATTATAGGAAACCCAAACTTTATGTAAAGTAACCATTCAACAAAACTCAAACATAGTAAAACCACAATTTCTCAGCCAAGATGCCCTGAGAGCTGGTGTAACTAACTGCAGTTACTCAGTTCACACCTGCTGACAAGCACAGATTCCAAGCTGTCCTTCTAATGTTTCCATTGCCCTTTCCCAACAGCAAATGATTTCTCAAAAGGCAGTAAATCCTCTCTTTTTTACTCAGGCTCAGATCAAAGGCATTGATACTTATCATGTACTGAGGCAAAATATGACGTCTTACCTGCCTTTAATAGCAAAATTGAAACCAGACAAAAAGCAGACAAAAAGAGCTTTTCCCTACAGACACAGAGTTGTTACATGCTAAAGAGATTATTATGAGACAGACATAGACAGAGTGAGAATTTTTAATCAGTCTGTGTATATGTGAACTGAGTTGTTCAAGGACACTGACTGGGACCAAAGTTAGCCAAATCTTTCCTTTCACCAAAATCTGGTAAAAGCTCAGTGCTAAAAACCACCTTGGGTTAAATGAAATGTCAGAGGAATGCAACAGAAAACAATTCAGAACTAGCTAAAACGTCACCCACATTATATCATCAAATGCTTTCTTTGAAGGACAAATCAAGATCAGGGGTAAGGGACACTGTAAATGATGACACCAGTGCCAGTGCAGTTTGTCTGCATACAAATTGCTACACTACACCTTTTCAAACTGAAGGCAGCTTGATTTATATTATAAGATTCTTCTAACCTGGATAATTAATTCAGAAACATCACTGTGTTTTGAAATGCCATTCTCTTGATCACTTGCTAGTATAAAAGGTACAACTTGACTTTCTATCCAAGCGCCTGTCTCCTTCAGAAGTGAAAGGTAATCTTCTCCTTCTTCAGAAAACTGTAAAAAAACAATGGGAAGTTTATCAATTGTGTCTCCAGTTGGTTTTGAATTTTCTTATACTCTCAACTGTAACTCCAGCTTATTCTGGAAAGCTATATGCATACCTTGTGCTGAAGATGAATACTCAATCTGCAAAAGAGACTGAAGGCTCTTAGGCTGGTTGCTTGATTCCAGACACCAGAATCTGTTCCTTTCAGAATTGAGCCAAGAACCCGCTGAAATATCAAGGTTTACATTTATATTTTTCAGAAAATTTTTTCAAATGTTTCTTTCCTCAACAGCTTTAAACAAAAGGTTAAAAAAAACCTCCAAACCCATAAAAACAGCAAAGCACCAAGCCCAAAAAAGCAACAAGCATACTTTAATACTTCCATTTTGCAGTGCCATAATTTATTTTCAGACTGTTCCTTATCTGCATATTCTGAAAGTCAGGTGCCTTAAAAAAACTCAACATTAGATCACAAAAATTTCGAGATATCTAAAACTGAGAAGCTGGTTAAAATCTGCCATCTATAAACAATTCTGAACTACTATACTTCTGTTTAGAGTACTTGTCAGAAGTACAAATAAAAAGGAAAATCTTTTTACAAAGGGAGAGGGGATCATGAATCTCATTTATTTATTCTTGCATGCCTTTAGTTTGACTCAGGCAATATATGATGTTAAGCACTGATTTTATAAACACTGTTTATGATAAGGAGAAAATTACCTTTGCAGCACCAAGAATTTTCAAAAGGTTCTTCAGTTTCTTTTTAGGAACAGAAAGGAGGCAACCACGATTGACAGGATGAGTCAATAAATACTCAATGTAGTCAATTGCTAAGTCTGGCTTTGATTCTTGTGTTACGTGGATACGTACTCGACGCTCAGATGTTTTAGTATTCTGAATAGCAAGGAAGCACAAAACCAGTACAAGTCTTAGTATCTGACTTTAGAACTGATTTCAAAGCAGAATAACATAGCATTAAAAAGTCTTATTCTATTTTTAAAAAGTATGATGCCTTAAAGAAGTCTGGCAATTCCTATACTCCCGGTCATATGCATATGCAGACCTTTGTTGGGGTGAGTGAGTCAGACAGCCAATCGCAGGCTAGTTCCATAATGTGCCCCACTTGACCCCAGCGGCACAGGCAGTCGATCAGGATAGAATATTTGCCTTGGTTAGCTCCACTGTCAATATTTCTGAGTCTGGAAACCACACCACAGCTTAAAAGCAAACAGACAAAAAGATACATTATCTTTACACCCTTAAGTGCAGAAAACAATTAGTATAATACAAACAAAGGATTCACCAACAACTTAGACTTGAACATCACTAATTTTACTGACTTACCACAGTTTTTTAGGGTCTTGATTTATCCAAATAGGCATTTAATATATCAGACTGTGAAAAATGAACAAATACAGCCAACAAGAAATTTCTTGTCATTTGCATTTTGGATTTCCAAACAGTACCTGAATGTAGGAATAGCAGCAGGGGGCATAAAGGATGCCAGAATAACCAATGGAGTCATGCACCGCTCATCCTAGGATAAAAGAATTACACCACATGATGTAAATGGAAGGTACATACATCCAAGCAAAACTAAAGAGAGTACTGAGAAATTATGATTACATTTTCTTAGATTAAAGATTTCCCTTTTTCACTACAAATGGAGTTGAAAGAAACTCAAATCAATATTAGCTTGCAATCTGAAATGTCTGATTCTTGGTTTTGGAGGTCAATTGTTGTATCCTTCAGCTTTCTGACAAACTGCCAGAATAACTACCATGAATAATCAGTCATGGATCCATTAAGTTAATACTCATTGCAAAAGAAATAGCAGCTCTACCTAACTTTTTTTCCCCGTGTGACTAAGATTTAATTGCACAATCATGACACCATCTAACTCCTCTCAAGTAACCAATGCCTTAAATGAATATTCATTCACACCACAAACTTATTAAAAAGACTCTAAAGGAAAGGGTTCTGATATAAATAACAGTGGTAATGTTTAATGCACTATTATTCATTACAACATGAAATAATACATGGTCTGGGCCACAACATCATCTCACTCAGGTTATATAGAAACCAATCTACGTTAAGAACTCTTCAAAAATAATTTCTCTCTATGTCCAAGCTTCATGGAAACAGCCAAATGAAATTATCACCTACTTGGCCATTCCAAAATATAAAACCGTTTTTAGAGCTCATATTTTTAAAAGAACTTTTAAAATATATTTGTAGCTTTTTCAGGAGAGAGACAGGCTGCTTCAGTATGTTTGTAGCCTTTTAGGAACTAAGCCCCTTGATGATAGGTCCTTTTACATCCAAGCTGCTTACTCACTATAAGAATATCAAAGTCAAAGAGGTTGTTTGCTAAAGCTGGATATCTTGTCTGTTCACCAGGCCCTTTCAGAAAGGATGTTACATCCTCAACCCAAAAAGATTTGGAATGTCTTTGACAACTTCCAAATGCTTTCAGGGTAAAGAGCACTCATAAATCTGTGCTGCAGAATAATATGTTGCAATGAGCTGCTTTTCACTCCCTGATTATCTAAAGCAAAGTTGCAGTGGAACAGCCACCATATTTCAGGATACTTCAACATAAAAGCCATCAACTGAGAAAAAGATATCCAGTATGTAATCCTTCCAAATTCACTCTGGGAGCAGCAGCCACTACTGGCGACTCTTAGGATGGCATCCTACTCAAGAATAACACTAAAAAAACTACAGCAAGGAGACTGACAATTTGAAAATTACTTATTTTAATTAACTGCCTATATCAAACCAAAGCAATAAATAAATGCATCAACAGATCATTAGAGAGTATTCAAATTAGCAGAAACCTCAGAATCACAGAATGGTTTTGGTTGGAAGGGACAAAGAGATCTTGTTCCAACCACCCTGCCATGGGCAGGGACACCTTCCACTTAGCCAGGTTGTTCCAAGCCCCATCCAAGCTGGCCTTGAATACTGCCAGGGATGGGGCATCCACAGCTTCTCTGGACAACCTGTGCCTGTGTCTCACCACTTTCACAGTAAAGAATTTCTTCCTAGTATTTCATCTAAACCTACTTTCTCATAGTTTGAATCCACTGCCCCTTGTCCTGTCACTACACTCCCTTGAAAAAAGTCCCTCTCTGTCTTTCTTTCCCTTCAGGCACTGGAAACTACAAAGCCTTTTCTTTTCCAGGCTTAATAATCCAAATTCTTTTAGCCTTTCCATTTAGGAGAGGTGCTCCATCCCTCTCATCTTGGTGGCTTCCTTTGGACTCACTCCAGCAGGTCAGAAGGACATGTTTGGTTTTCTGGGCTGTGAGTGCACTCTGCCAGCTCATATGCAGTGAAAACAGAGCCTCAGCTGCTTCAGTTGCAGCTGAATCATAAGCGGTGCTGGTGGAAGAGTCTGGGGGACAGTGGGTAGAAAAATATGTGGATTCCAATGTACAATGAGTATTTATTCTGCAATGGCACATTTGTGTTTACTGTTTCCCAAAAGTTCTAAAGCATTCAAAAGAATAAAACCCTAGAAAAACCTTACAAGGAGAGCAATTTATTGCATAAGTATTTCTGAGCTGACTATTTATATAACGGTTCATCAGTCAGACACTGCAGTTGGAGAATAGTTTCTACCAATTTGTGCTGTTTATAGTTTATAGCAACAATAAAAAAGAATATTTAATGCCATAAAAATAGATAAAAGACATAAAACATAAAAGCATCTGAAGAAAATACTGAGAAAATAAAGGAAAATCTAGGCTTTCTTTACCTGAAATACTTTAAAATATTCAGGAAGTACAGAAGCAAACTTCCTGATAGCATAATCTTTGGCATCTTCATTGTGATCTAGTGCTTTGTGGATACTTCTCCAGAGTATTACAGTGATCTCCAACAAGCTTGCCATGCTGGCCACATCATTTACTGACAACACATTATCCAACACCTGAAATACAAACACTTAGATGATATTACCCATTATGTTTTCAAATAGAAATTTAAATCAAAATAAGGCTTAAAAGACACTGAAAATCCTTCTAGTCCCTTTACAAAAGACATTGTGGTTGTCATAGAATAGGAACTCCACAATTCAGTCTTAATCTCTCTAACTTCACATATCTTGTAATGGTAATTTTTAAAATAATTTAACTGCAAAACCAACCAATTTATAATAAGCACTAGAATTAGGCAACTAATAATTTAAAATATGCTTCATATTCCTTCTATCTTATTCTAGCTACCTGAAAAAATTTCTGCTGCTGCAGGACATGAAAATCCAGTAACAGTGGTTCCACCCTTCCAATTCCAGAGATGCCCAAGGGCCTTCCTTTAGACTTTCTGTCATATTCTGTGTGACATTAAGCAGCACTGAAAACAAGTTACCAGAATTTTGCATAAAATGTACTATCTTACACTGCTGTTCTCCCTTTCACTTCCATGTTCTTCATCATCACCATCGTCATCATCCCCACTATCATGAAGACTCTCCTTCATTGCTTTCTGGATGCAGGCATTCAAGCAGCGCCGAATAGTGAGCATCAATTTAGCTACATTTAAAATGAATAAGAATAGACATTTGATATTTAATGAATGCTGGTAATAAATGCTTCTAATTATAATTATAAACAATAATAATTTAATAATAAATAATTATTAGTTAAAAATAATTAATAATTAATAATAAATAATTATAAATAATAGTTATTTTCATACTGTAAAGACAGTATGAAAAGTAGCCAACAGAATCAGAAACAGCTAGGAAAAAATGGAGAAATTTCCTTGTAAAGAAAATGAAAAAAATGTGAACATGCTTTATATCCTCAAGTATGAAGAAGAAATGACAACGTTATCATCAGGGTCTTTAATTTTATTGTTAAAACAGTATACTAAAAAAATAACCACCACCTCATCAAAATGAGAATCAGAGGAAGCTCCCACAACTCCTAAATTTAATCTAGCATAAGTGTTAACCTAATGACCCACGTTCTAGAACACATTCCCTTCTATGTCAATTCCCATTCTTTGGAATAGATGTTGTAGCCCAACCATTGTACTCCTGAATGAGGAGATCAGCTCTAGAAGAAGTGAAAGGGTTATGCCCACTCTGATGGAAGTACAAGCTGATTTCATAACCTTATCAAGATGATCAGCTGAGAGGCAATGGTTTGGGCATTTCATCCAAGTCACTCCATGCTCATTACTTGGGTTTTATCAGAACTCCTCTGGAACAAACTTTTCCCGATTTTACTTGGTTCAATAGGACTTTCCTAAAAAGCAGTGACATTCTGGGCAGTACGTGCCCTCTTCACTGAAACTTTCTGAAGCTTTCTGAAAGAGGACTTTCTAGATTTTCCCTGAGCAACTTGAAAATATTGATCCACAAATCCCAGATAACCAGATTATCAGATGTAAACATTTTTTTGGTTTCTATATAATCTTTCATGTGAAGATCTCAAATCACTTAAGGCACCGGGTACTTGCTACCCTTTTTCTACATAAGAAATAGGTATCAGCTGAGATAGCTGTAAGGTCTGTGTGGGGAGAAATGGGAACAGAAGGAACTGGTGCCACCATGGGGTGGGGTGTACAGCACAGCATCGAAAAGCAGAGATGAAAATCTTTGATCTCCTCACTGTTGAAAAAGCTGATGACTTCACCTGCTGTGCTTATTGCTGGTGTCAAGAATTCCAAAAACTATAAACTAATATTATACTAAGCCCCCAAAAATCTAGCAACAATGTACCACTGTTACAGAAATAAGAAGAAAAAAGCATTTACATGGCATGATATCAGTAATTCCAAAAGCTCGCAATGTTTTGTACTTTACCTATATTGGTGGGGCCAGTAAATTCATAAGCATACTGATAGAACTTCCTGGCTGCTGCTGGGTTCATCTGGATCAGAGTGACACAGCGCTCACACCACACCTCCTCGGGCTGGGTAGTGGGGAAGAAGGAATTCAGCAGGAGGTTCACAATGCGCCGGGACACCGGCCTTGAATCAGCTTCAAGGCGAGACAGGAGATGCTCCATGGGACAGATATTCCAGAACTTTGTAAAGTGAGAAAAAGATATTCAAAGGAGTTAAATAAAAATGGAGAAAAAAAACGTCACCTTCAGTAAGTGATTTCCATGTCAACAGTCTATAAAAATGTAAGGAACATTAACTTGGAAAACATGAGAATTTTTTTTTTTTTTTTTATTCTTACACCAACGTGAACTAGAGATCAAATTCTGCTGTAATAATGGTATTTGCTGTGCTGATGTTTTAAATCTCCTGGTATCTCTGACTCACTGGAAAAACTGTGGTTCGAGCAATTCCAGTTCAATACACCTGCAATATAATGCAATTCCATAGACACAGGGAAGAACTATTTACTTTACAAGGATATCACTGTAAAATACAATTATTTGTCACTATGTGCCATGTTTCATATTCTCCTCACAGGAAGAAGTAGGACCAAATTATTTACAAGTATTGTGTACACCTTAAAAACCTGTATGGATCAACAGTCTTTCCAAAACCATCCCAAACCCCATATTACTAAATATTGAATGCATCCCACTCTTAGCAGAGCTCCAGTTTATTTGTAACACAGAAATCAAAGGCTATGAAATTCAGATGGACTACACAGCTGTTATGCCAGCGGTAACACCACACTTGCAATTTTTTGGCGATGATTCTGAATTAATTATGCTGGACAATTTTGAATTAAAAAACAAAGTATTTTTCAACGCCAAGGAACCTATTTTACTCTTGAGTAGAAATATTTGCAGCAGCTAATTACCCTTTGAATTTGAACCATGGATGTCCCTATTAGAACTGTCATAAAAAGTAAGTTTAAGGTGAACCCAGGACTTACCAGGTATATACATTATGGTTTCTAAATCAAAAGAAGTTATTGAAAAACATCTAACACTTACTGGGATCTTTTTTTTCCTTATGTAAACCTGATCTTTCCTTCCCCTAAAAAATCCCTGACATTGAGAATTAACTTTTTTCTCTGTCTTTAATGGCAGCACACTCAGAATAATTCACAAACCAAGTGACCTCATCCACTCCTTGTATGGCTTTCTCTCTACACCCTTCACCATCTTCAGAGCTCTCCTCTGGCTGCTTTCTAATAGTTTTATATCTTTATTAGTCTTAGAAAGAGACAAAACCAGTTAAATTAAAATATAAAACTGAAATTAAGAAACTATTAATATTAGAGAGTGGAATAAGAGCTCAGAGATGCTATAAGACCTGTAGCTGGACAGTATCACCCTAAATAAGAGTCCACAGCAGAACACAAAATACATTAAACATCACTATAAAAAGACACCAAAATCCTAAAGGATGTGCCCACAAATTAGGAAGAGACATGATAAAAATATAAGAATCAAAGCAAAAAAGCTAAGGGTTAAGGTGTTAGGCATTTAGAAGAGTTGGGCAGCTGAGGGAAGTGTGGCTGTAAACCACTGCTCTCCCCTGCCCATCCAACAGAGAGAACAAAGGGCCCACAGAGCACTCAGGATACCACAAATATTTAGAGTATAACCAGAGCAAAGCAGGTTACTTCTTTCTTTTTTTAGGAACACTGCAGAAGTCTCAAAATGTACTTTTTTTTTTTTAACAAATTCCTTGATTTTGTCTCCTTGCTATTTATTGAGTGTCATTATCCTACCTTAGCAGCCTTGGTAGCCTTCACTTTGAGCAGCATTTCCACAAAAGCCACTCGCACTTTCTCAGAATTGTCATGAAGACTGTGTTTGGTTGCAGGCAGGAGTTGTTCCAGGAGTGGGTGACTTAGTTTGTTGTCCAAAATTATTGGTAGGCACTAAAATTAAAAAAACAAATCCCAAAAGAGTAGAGCTGAAAAATCTGTAGCTAAAAATTGTTTAAGTAGACCATGACACTTCTCATGTCAAATAAAGCAGGGGCAGACATTGTGCATGCTTGGTTTTTTGTAATATTTTTTGGTAAAAACTGCTTTGATTACTTCAAATTTACAGTGAACTGTGTTTGATGAACTCACCTCAGCTGAATCAGCTTCAGACCTACACTAAGATCATGGTCTTGTCCTCTACCTGAGGGCACTCAGATTTCTAAAATAAGCTGATTTCAAATTAAAAATATATTTCTTTGTTCCAATTCATTTTAAATCAGCACTTTCTACTTATCCAGGATAGCTCCTCCATGAAGCAGTAGTGGAGAAAGTGAGGATTAACAGGACAACAGCTTCAATTTAAGTCTCAACTGACACAGAATCTTCAAGTGAAAATGCTGCTTAGGGAGTTCATTTTTCTGTCCAAGCTATCAGTTATTTCCCACATGCCAGAAAGATGTAGATGAACTATTTCTAACATAGTGAGCAGTACATGGGAGGAGGCATCACCAGACACACAAAGTGGGGTACAAAATCCTAATTGTGCATGCCTTGGGATGCATTAAAGCCAGTGATGTAAGAACATATATTTTCAAGTCTAAGCATCATTTCTAAAATTTCTAAAAAAATAAGTGATCAGGTTCAAACAGTGTGCATACACCTGAAATTGAAAAACCTTAGAGAGTCAGAAAGCAAATCAGTTACTATTTTAAAAGACATGTGGCTTTTATGAAATGTGCAAAACCTCCATGCATTAGGAATTCTATTGCCTAAGACATTTTGAAAAACAAGTAATTTCCTTGATTTAAAGTAGCCTGTACTAGAAACCTGTACATCAAGTAAGATAGAAAAATGACAATCATGATAAAAAACATTTACTTTAAAAACAGAGCATCGAACATCAGCAGATGTTATATCACATGACAGCTCTCCAGTTATCTTTTTTAATAGATCAGCAAGAATTGTTGGAGGAATCATCTCCCAGTATTTGGATACGATCTGAGTAACTCCAAGTATCCCTGTAGAGCGGACAACTGGATGAGGATCTTCTAAGAGACTCTAAAACAAACAGAAGAATAAAACTGTGAGCATATGGATTATTGTAACTCTACTGCTGTTTGACCTGAGCCTACCATAAACAAAATGCATTCCATTACCTTTTAATTATGAAAATTGTCATACAATAAAAGAACTGTAATTTTAATAGACCTTCAAGGCACTTTACTATGAAGAAAACAAGGAAATTTAAATCAGAAGCAAAGTTAAGATAGCTATTGGCCAATTTTTTTATTGGACTTTTGAATTTATTTTTTTTTAAATAAAAAAAGTCTGGCACTTGTGACTTAATTAAGAATATTTCAACTTCTATTTCTATGAGTCTACATTGATCACTGTTCCTATGGAACAACATAAAAACTTTGAAATTCATTCCATTATCTGATGTTTACTCAGGAATCCCCAAACATTTTCTTAAGAAAAATACTATATTCATTTTCACCCATCTGGACTGGTAAGGAGATTTTTAGGTTCTCTCCATTATACTTAATTTAAGAAGTAGTTAGTAATACAGCACTGAATTTTCATTGAGTACTTCCATAGTAACTGTGAAGCTCTCCGCCCCAGTCCCAGGTTAAGCAAGGACCAAGATCATTATTCATGCATTTAATCTTTCAAAGGCATGTCTCATTCACAGATCAATGAATAACAAACCAAAATATTTCCTTTTTAGAGTTTAAAGTGGTGCATAGCATCTGCAGAAAGCACAGTATAGAAATTTAAAATATTAGTTTACTCTGTATTTTCTGCACCACAGACCTCTACTTCCTTACAATTAACCAGAAATTCAATAAATTTTAATTGCATCAACAATTTTTTTTTAGTTAGCTTTGATAAAAGTTTCATTTTTAACATTTCAGTTTTATTAAAACTTACAAAAAGTTCTTCAAACTGTTTCTGAATTTCACTGTCCATCTCTTCAGCAGTAAAACTGGGATCGCGAATAGGGAAAGCATCAACAAACAAAAATGCTGCATTTGCTCGAACTTCTGAGTTTCTGGCCTGTTACAATGGAGGAAAAGATATTTTTTCCATAAGGACCAATTGTTAATATCCAAAGGTGTATCCTGTCAAATACTGTTCTCCAAACATTTTGACAAGTGTTTTTAATTAAGTGGATGGAAGAGATGAATTTAGAAATGGACAGAAGAACTTAAAGTCACATGAGTTTTAATGTTTTATCTTATATTTCTGGCCCATTCAATAAAACCTGAGTTATTGTCACAATCAGCTTTCAAAGCATATCAGCTTCAATGACCCTGAGGAATCACAGTCAGAGCCCTTCTGCTTTCTGTAGTGCTGAATAAATTAAAAGCAGTTGGGATTCCTCTTGGTGGCCTAAAAGCTCCTCTTCAGGACAGAAGACTCTTAAATTCAATCAGATTGGATTAATTAACTTGCTTGTCAAGAGACAGGTGATTTAATTGAAAGCTCAAGCCTATTTCTTCAAGAAAATAGTATTTAGTAACTAGGTACCAGAAAGCTTGGAGAGTAACTTATCCAGCAAAAACATACTCAGTTCTGCATCTCTGCACATAAGTATTAGGACCGTGTTCTGAGCTCCAGGCAGCTCATGAAAAACCTATGGGAAGCCTCACAACATTTTACCGTATTTAACAATTTTCAGTGCACTCCACCATATATTTTAGTGGTTGTAGATCCACAAATGCAAAAAAGAAAAAAGGTGCATATTTAGCCACTCATTCAGTGAAAGATAATTGATCCTGTGGACTCTTAAAGGACAGAAAAAGAGAGCAGGCAATGAAACCATGAAGAAATTCAAGGCATCTCAAGGACAAAGCTGAAATCTAACCACCAAACTGCATTTTATTTATCAAAGATAGCAGTGTAGTGATTAAGAGCCTCTGCTGACTTCTGTTGGAAAGAGAAGGAAGAATTTTGTCTATATTTTTGGGTCCAATAAAAAATATAAAATCTCTCAATATAACAAGCAAAGTAGGCATAATTTTAGCAGCAAGACAAGGCAGTTCAGGGAAATTCTTGACTATTCTAATAATCTAATTTTCTTCTTCCCTTGTCATAAAGCACATTGAGATCAAAGGCAGGGAAAAGAAACATAGCAATAACCATGTAATGTTTAGACTTAAACAAACTAATGACAAATAAAACCAGAAAAACACAAAAGAAATGAGTAACAATTACTTCATTGACAAACTGCTTTGGGTTTCTCTTCTTGATCAGTCCTGATATGGTGGAGTAGAACCATAATATTCCAAATTCTTCAAGTCAACAAAATCACTAGGAATTCTAAATTGAATACTACAAAAGCAAATAAAGTACATACATACATTCTTTAATTAGGGACTTGTATTTTCCTTTATTTATTATGGATAATGCAAACAATTTAAAGGTGAAAATACTGTAATTCTTAATGATCCTAAAAAGTTGTAGAAAATCCTTTAACTCTGAGCTTTCTATATTTAACACATAACAAGATAATATGTGAATTCAGGGTGAAATAGCTCTTCTGCACTAACATTGCATGTGAAAATTTATTAAAATGTGTTTTTGTGCAATAACCTAGACCTTGTCTACCACAGCCATTGCAGAAAGTTAATTTCCATAAACTTTTAAAGTGCATTACACTGAATTCCATCAAGCTCACTTTTAATTCTGAACTGAGTACCCACAGTTCAAACTGCCTTTAATTAACTGGAATTTATCCCAAATGTATTTGCATATTCAGGCTTGTACAACGTCTTCACAGAGGTAGAACCTCAGACTTTAAATTCATGGCCTTTTTTAATCCAAACTGACTTTTCCATGCCAGAGCCTGCAGTTATTTAAATGACTAATATTTCTTTACCATTATGCTTGTACAATTCTTAGGAACTTTCAAAACCTTTTCAAACAATATTTTAATTTTTTTTCTTCAGTTAATTTTCATAGCTTTCTTTTACATTTTATCTGGTCTTACAGGTTCTGAAATTCACTTCCAATTATTCAAAACACTACTTCCCCAGGATATGTTAGTTTAAATGCATGGGATGTTAAAAAAAAAATTAAAAAGACAACCAAATACTTCAAAGGAGTCACTTCCTTCAATGGCTTGAATTCCTGGAGGAGTGGTTCTTGACTTTTTCAGCTTGATAAGAAATAGCTTAATCACTACTTACCTCACACTAAATATCCTTATTTTTGTATCTAAATATCTTCTCATACTAACAACCAATCACTGCACATCTCTTTTATGTTTGCATGACACTTGTTTTTCATAACAAGAATATGAAAAAAAGATGAAGCAGTTACATATGGGCTTATATTAAAAACGTAGTTACAGAAAGTAACATAAAATACGTGTTGGTAAAAGCCCCAACACAAGCTTGTTCAGTCTAAGTACTTGCAAAACAAGCAAGTGAAGAAAAACAGAGAACTGTATTACAAATGTGCATTCTCAGTTTAAAGATTTCAGAAATGAAATCAAGTAGTTTCAGCATCAACAGTTCTGGAATTCATTGTATTCTTACAACAGAAGTATTTTTGCTTTCTGTATGAAGGGGAAATAAACAGGCCTTGTGTGTCCTTTCTTTTTCATAACCAGTGCTCTGGAACAGAATTTGTTCTTCACTATATTAAATTAGGGATTTGGCTAAAATAGGAGCATCAAACTGGTTATCTAAAATTAAACTGACATTACAAGCTTTGGAGTAGAATCCATAACAGTAAGAACAGTTATAAGCTTCCCTTCTTAGTTCTGTATTTTAAACTACTGGTGTTTCTGACTCACAGCAACAGCCAAATACTTCATGCAGTACTGTATGATTTGTTCTAGCAATGGAACCATTAGTGAAAATTATGAATAGCAGCTGTTAAATCATTTCTTGAATCAGGAATTCTCCTGTTGTCTTGCTGCAAATCAACCATTAACCCTTTTTTCCCACGACACACCTTCTGTTACATTTCTCCAAATAAATGTATGCAGATTTCATAAGGTTTGACAGAATCTTCCTCCAAAACGTAGTCTAGTCTTACATTTGAGTCCTGAGCTTTGGAAAGTGACTATGACCCTGCACTGACAGGCAGCAACTCCCTTAAGAATGAAATACTGTATTTTGTTAACTTACCAAAAAACAGTTAAAACCCCTATTATTTTTAGAGACAGAAATGTAGAAATTAAAGGAAGCCATGCTTTGTACCTATCATTCTCTGGCACTAGTATATAAATGTTTCATCCAGAAGGTTCACTGTTTATATTAATTCTAAAAGGATGGGATCTAACCTTTAATGTAAGACCAAACAAGATACTGGGCTAGCAAGGATTCTGTTCATATTCCCACCTCTACCACAGGGCTCTGTTGAAACCAAACAAGCTCTCAACTCCTTCCTGTAACTGATAAAATCCACTGTAAACAACTTTTGAAGTTAATAGTAAATACTTTCAACTTTGAGAATTACAAACACCTTTCTCATGTCTAGAGAAGATGCTTATGACCAACCAGTAAATGAAATTGTGAATGCTTACCAGAAATAACTTGGCTGTATGTGAACACCCTCACAAACAGGGATTTCATAACTTCAGACAAAATAAAAGCTGTCACCAAACAAGGAAGCTTAGCTCCTCTTAATCACAGACTGTAACTGAGCAGACAAACTGCAGTGGGTCACCTTTAGGCCATGCATGTAATCCACAGAAGGACAGACACACACCATAAAAGAGCTACAAGTAAGAAATTTCATTCTGAGTGCACATGAGTGTACCATGAATGTCTGTCCATATAATCCAACTAGAATAAAAGTTTCCTAAATGAATACTCTAATAAATTCATTGTGCTGTATTCTAAGGCTGGTAATTAATCAACAGGTGACACTAAACCATCCTCTGAACATTTCTGGCTTTGATCAATATTTTTGATCAATAAAACATTGATAATTCCCTAGAGATCTTGGGAAAGATAACACAAGATTACACAGAATTTTCAGGCTGAGAGGATGAGAATACCAGCTGCAATCCTGGAAAGCACTCATGTACCTGTAAACAAAAGTGAATTTTACAAGTAAATTATATTAACAAACTAGAATATTATTGTCCATGCTATGCCTAATTACAACTTGCAAAGGTACTCAGCTACATCTGTGATGTTAAACGCTCATTTTGGTTTTTGTGGCCATTTAATTTTAAAAGCAAATAATAAAAACAGAAGACGTGGAAAGGACCCAAAACTTAATAGTTGGAGAAAGACAGTTGTATTTTCTGAAAAGGGTAATTACCTTCAGTGCTCTCCAGAGGATGGGCTGATACAATCTATAAAGCATCTCTTCAACTCCTTGACGAACTTTACTTTGTTTATGAAAATAACTCAGCATCTAAGGAAAAAACAAATAAAACAGGCCCCAAAGCCATCTTACCATTCTACATTCAGGAAGTGGTAAGGGGTTGTCTTATTTCATAATTAAGTAAGACCAGAGTTTTCATACTATGGAAATGAAAAAACCAAACATTTTAATTGACCCTCTATCTTATTAGAAAGTCTCAAAAATAGTAAAATTAAAACCATCTAATAAATATAATATTTTATAACTTTATAGAGTCAGTAAGTTTATATAAAGATCTACAACTAAGAAAAAATATGGCTAGAGAATTTCACAGCAACACCTCCTTTTTGTTACTGTAAAAAATTATTTTTAAAGTAACTGGCAGAAATACTTTGAAACCATGAAATTATAAACTACAGATAAAGAAGCCTTTTCTCTGTTAAGAACAAAGGAACTTATCTGGTAAGTGGAGTTATCCAAATACACATGCACAAACCTAATACATTTTTTATGCATTGATGAAAAGCAACTATCAGCACTCCTTGGGACTCAAAACTGCGCTTAATTAGCTAAAAATCCTGTTATTTTTGTGTGTGAATTATGCAGAAAAGGAAGAGAAAGTGGAAGACCAGAGCAGAATATGTGAAGGGACATCACGAAACTTGATATGAAGAATTCCTCCACTTGAAACACTGAGCAGTTTCAGCTGTGTTCTAAGGTTGGTAATTAATCAAAAAATGAGACAAGATCATCCTCTGAACATTTCTGGCCTTGATCAATACAGCACTGATAATTCCCTGAAGATCTTGGAAAACAGAATACAAGATTACACAAAATTTGAAAAGAAGCTGACCCTCTAGTGGTCAGTTCAAATTTATTCCAAGACCTACTCCATTTGCAGCCCAAAGACATATTTATTCACTGTCCTCTTTCAAGATCATAAGCCTCAGAGTCTGAAAAACATGAAATGTCCTGTCAAAAGCCTGTTCCATCGATCAGGAATCACACAACAAGGAAATCCTATAGCTATGAGAAAACAAAACAGAACAAACCCCCTAAAAAACCAACCCCAGAAAACACAAACCAAAACAAACAAAAAATCCACTATAGTATTGTACACTGGTATGTCGAGCTGTATATTGCACAGTACACACTCTAGAGTCTGGGTATTTGGAGGAAAGCATGGGAGGGTAAACGGCATTGATCAAATACAAATATTTTAATTAATTAATATTTCATGATTAAACACCACAGACAGACAACTAGAATCAAAGCTTGTCCCTATGAACATACATAAATCCCATCACATACAATAAAATTTAAAAAGCCAAGTTTCATTTCAGACCCATCTACTAAGTTTGCCTCCAGAAGGTTATGATTTTTCATCTCTGTGATCATCTATGGAAAGGTCAATTCTATAGGTAAATAAAGCTTAGACAACAGACAGCAAAAATTATTTCTGGCACTCTGGAAAATCCCCTTCTCTTTCTACTATTGAGCAGCAAAGACAAATCTAGTGCAAAACTATAAACAGGTTCCTCCTAAAATTATTTCTAGCACTGTTTCTCAGAATATGCTATTTTTTAAGCATTTGTGGTGGGTTGGCCCTAGTCACCAGCTAAGCACACACACTCTTTGCTCAATGGGGAAGAAGAAGAATTGAAAGAAAAAGTTCATGGGTCAAGATAGGGACAGTTTAATAAATGAAACAGAGGACCAAAATAATCCCCAAGAGAGTAATGCAAATGAAACCACTCACCACCTGCCACAAGCAGACCAATACTCAGCCAGGCTCCCAGCAGTGGGTGCCTCCCCAGACCCCACTTTCACTCAGTTTGCTGAGGGAATGATGGTTGTATGGCATGCGATATCCTTCTGGTCAATTTGGGTCAGCAGTCTCTGCTGCTCTGACCTCCCAAGCTCTTGCTCATGCCTGGCCCACTCCCAAGGGAAAATGCGGGGAGGAGAAAGGCTCGAGACCACACAGGCACTGCTCAGCAGCAGCCAGAACATTGCTGTGCCACCAGCCCACCCCAAACACAGCCCCATACAGGCTGCTATAAAGCAAAGTATTTCCATTCCAGCCACACCTGGTATTGTATTTTAGTATGAAATGGAAATTTTCCACTTCATAGCAATTGGTTTCATTTTGATGCTACAGTTAATGTCATGCTTTCCTGGAACTTACCTCTCTAACTTTAGAATGAACAGAAGAACTTCTGGGAAGATGAATTCCATGATGCATGAAATCCTGAATGCAGTTATATTCAAGTACCTACAGTAAAAACACAAACATGATCCTGTTAATACAATAAACCAGTAAGTACTGTAGCTGTGCAGCAACTATATTTTACCCTGAAACAAGCAACTGAAAATACTATCTGCTATTATTTCTTACTTGGCTTCTGATTGGCCCAAATTTTTCCATTCTGGGGGCCTCAGTATGCCTCAACTAATTTTCAAAATTTCAGAATATACAATTAATCCAACTGTCAGAAGCTAAAAGCAGGGTAAATAAGAATATTTTAGTATCTGAAATTTTGTTCTAGCATTGTTGTGATCTGTAATTATGCCATTAATCATTTCCATGGAAATCCACAAAAACTAGATAAATACTTCAGCTATCAACTATACAGACTTGCACATACTGAATAAAAGCTTCAGTAATTCAGCTAACGGGTATGTTTATGAAAAACATTGTGTATATGCATATTTGTGTGAAGCAATACTTCAGCAACAGAATTAAAGGTGTTTAACTGCAGCCAAGCTGATCTCAGTGGGAAAACATTCAAAGCATGACATACAGTTACTTGACAATGCTGAAGAGGCTCTTTCCTTAGGGAAATAATTCTTTAAGGCTTATTAATGGAACCTCTCTGAGGTGGAAAGTCATGAGTCTTTCCTACCTTGAAATTCAAAACTATCCAAATGAAATTTCAAGCACAGTGTTACCTCTATGAATTCTCTTGACACCTTCTTCCAAGCCCTGAAGTAAACTTCTGAAATGTATTCCATTAAGGATCTGTATTAACATATAGGAAACACTGTCAAGAAAGCATACTAACCATATCTATGTACAGTTCATAAAGACGAAACATGAAGTTTTGTATAAGAACCAATATGGTTCTTAATTCTGTGCATCAAATTGGTTTTTAGAAAAAAAAATTCACTTTTCAAGTCTATACCCTTAAATACCAAGTTAACTCTTACTTAATGAACCCAAGCACTATTACATGATACTTGAAAAACCTCTCATGGTGGGAGAGACAAAACATTCAGGCATAGTTTACCAATTATGTAATGAAGAATGCCTTAAATTCTTTATAGACATGTACAGGAATACCTTATTCTACCTGAAAGCATTAGAAAGCCTCTGATTTTAATATATGGAATTACTTCTGCAACATTTCACTGAATAATCAAAGAAAAAAAATCTCCAAAATTTTCATCCATCATCCAAGTTCTCAGGCTATGATTTACCCTATAGTTCACTTCATATTAGAATGTCTTATATAGAAACCTAGAAAATAAAATTAGAGCTTGTTTGTAGGAAAAAATAGAAATACCTCACGAAAAGGAGAAATGGACCTGCAACCCTCACACAAGCACTGCAAATAATGCAGTCCAATTTTTATCAAAGTCATTTGCTTTAGCTAATGGCAAATAAACATTTACTACTCCTATAACTGTACACCCAGGCATGTCAGAGCCACTGTTAAATGAAGCTTCTGAAACAATATAGAAGTTCTTTTCAGAAGATTTGTGGGTTTCTGAATACTGATATTTTTTTTCAATATACAATGTATTTTTAGAGGGAGACAAACAAGATTTTAGACAAGCTCTTACTAATTAAATACTTTAACTGGGATGCATACCTTGGAAAGAACTGTAATTGATTTTTAACGGTTCCATGTATCATTTTAATGAAGTTTACATTCCAGCTGAACAAAAAACTCAAGAGTCTTCTTCCCTGTGGGGAGGGGAAAAGAGGAAAAAACAAAGGGAACTCAAAGTTCAGAAGAATACCCAATTTAAAAGCTATCTCAAAAATCAGTAAAGGAAATTATACCTTTAATTTTAAATGCATGAAATGAAAAATGGTGAAATGGAAAAACTATTCAAGATTCTTAATTATTTAACAGAATTCAAGCACTACTTTTATTCATACTGTAGATAAAACACAGGACAAATGAACACATGGATCACCTATCTGCATTCTCTCTTTCAATGTCCTTTCTGCTTTGGTGTGCCTTCAAGCCGCAATCCAGAATGGTAACAGACTGTGCAAGCAGCACCCACATCAAGGCTGGATCACTGAGCTCTGCCAAGTGCAATATCATCCCGGGATTACACCGGAATGACGGTGAAGGCATAAATAAAACACCACAACAACTCCAGCAGCACTGGACACAAGCATTTTTAACACGGTCACAAAGAACAGCTGGGCCACTGAGGAAATTAAATGTTCTGATCAGCAAATTCCTTTCCTCTTGCCACATGAAAGGTAATATTGCAAACCTACTGGAGCTGTTTTCATTCATGAAAACAGAAACTATTCTTCGCAAATTAGTTTTCTTCCATTTTAACAAGTCAGGAACAATGACGACAAATCTGATGAGCAATAGAATTTTGCAATAAATGGCAGTGGAAGGCTGTGGATGAAGGAAATAAGCAAATGCACTTCCAGTATTAGCAAGATCTGCCCAAGGAATTGGAGCCTTATACAGTATCTGTATAGGCAGCCACACTCTGACTTAGCTTACAGATGAAGGTAAGACTTCAAAATGTTTGATCACACATAAGGGTGAGTCAGCCAGTCGTAATGGTCCTTTGTATCTGTCAGCTTTCTAGCCAAAAATAAATTAGGAATATTAATGAAGGAAGTGCAATAGTAAAGAGCACATTTGCAGAAGTGCAAAGGGGTCACTGAACAAACAGCAGAGGTTCAGAGGCACTTCCACTGAGAGTGGACCAAAAGTTGTGTTCACACCTGAGACCAAACAGAGAAAATAGAATGCCAGTCACACTTGGAGTGGGAATCTCACAGAGTAGGGGTGGGAGATGGAAGCACATAGTGAAAAACTGCCCTGTAGTGCAATTGATAGCTGAAATGCCTTTGGGGAAAGAAGTAACTCAGTAGCTCATAAAAATCAAGACCTAAAGGCTAAATACAATATCAAGATTCTTGTCTACAGGTCTGATGGAATCCTTTCTGTTGTCAATGACAGTTGTCTCTATCTCCAACTTTGGTGGCCTAATATACAGTCCAGTCCCACTCAGAATGTCACACATCAATATCCTTGACAAAACAAAAGATTAAGGGAGTTTCAACCTACAGTTCTTTCCTCAATAGAGCAAGGATGAGGACAAATTAGAGCTCATCTCATCTTCTACAACCTCAGCAGCAAGACAGATTATGAAAAGAAAAAAAATAGCTTTCAACCAATTCTTTTTAGCCTTAGGTTTCAAGATTGAGCCTGCTCCTGAAAATTATGATAAGTGTCTCTAAATTAATCTGCTGCTTGTGATTGATGGATCTGAAATAATTACTGGTATCAACATTCTCATTATTGTGAGAGGTAACCTGGTGATAGGTGAATAAGACTGTAAACTTGTCATCTTTGGGATTAATGCAGTATCAGAGTGTTGGGTGTCTGGTACTGCTGTGCTTGTGGACACAGAGCACCTGACTTTGTTCTATACACACAGAGAAGGTTAGCAAGGAAAGAGTACAACAGACCCACCTCTAAAACATAATAGCATGCTCTCCAGGCTCTGCAGCTGTTTGACTGGAAACCACATATGAACAAGAATGTTTTCCTAAATCACAGAGATATAAATCCAGAGGATTACTCCACTAATGCAGCCTGATAATGAGCCTTTGAGAAATATTACTCTGTGTTGAATAGCACAGCCTGAGAAGGCAGAAACACTGAACTCCCTGATCTTGCAATGAGGTATAAATGTGCACTTCTCTATTGGTTTAATCTGATTTAGAACTGATACACTGCATTCCTGACCTTTCCCTTCCTTCAGTCTTGCAAATGATGAACCATTCCAGACAGTTAATCTGTCTTTAAAAATAATCTTACTAGAAGAAAAGAGCTACCTCCTTCAATCAACCCATGACATTGCTGCTTGAACATTACATTGCAGAAAGGAAGAGGAACACGAGCCCATGGCCACACAGGATCACTGCAACCTGGAGTCATAGCAGCTTAATCTGCTATGGTGCTGCACTCTGAGACATGTACTCTATAAAAACTAGGATTACTTTTCTTAGGAACTGTAGGACAAGTCTGCAGGCATTAAAGGGAGTATTAGGCCTGATATACAAAAGCTCAGTTTCATCTCAAAGTAATTCATACCTCATGTTGATATCTGGTATTACTACGAGCATTTTAGAAGTAACACCGGATGCAAAAAAAATGTCCAGCAGAGATACTGGAGGAGCGTTGGTTGGTTTCTTGATGCTACAGGAAATCTATCATTAGTGAAATGAGCCAGGAAGGGAAATTAGAGAGCACACATGAGGTGTGTTATCACTGCAACTGAACTCCCACAGCACACAAACCCCAAACAAAAGGACTTACAACTGAAGTACAATGGCTTCATAGCAACAGGAAAATGCTTTGAACACTTTGAATCTCCTGTCTGCAGGGCTAGGAAAACCCAAATTCGTTACCATTCTGGATAAGTACTGGAAGTTCATATAGTGAAGTTGGATTTCTGCTCACAAACTGAGACATGTGAATTTGGATGTTTAAGTCTCTGAAATGTTAATTGTTTGAACAGTGATTCATGTGATCAGGTGTTCAGTTACTCTTTTATGGAGCTGAATTGCTCTGTTGACTCTGCTGACAAGGGTTAATATAGCACAACCTAAACACAGCAATTTTACATGCCCAAATGGTTTTCCAGAAAGCAGAGATCTGTGTATTATGTGCCAGCCCCACATGGATGTCTGAGGCAACTCAGGTCATTAAATGTAGCATGGGTCATTCACTTAAGCAATCAAATCCTTCCCAGGACTTGTACTGATTATGCTCCTTCACAGATGTCTAAATTTATTTCAGACAATTTAACTGAACCCTGTCCTGGGATCTTTCCAGAATGTGTTATGGTTCTCCTTTTATTTTGAACTGTTATCCTCCAAGATGTAAAGTGATTCGTGTATTGGGCTGGCATGGCAAGGTTTTGGTAGTGGAGGCCTGCAGAGGTTGTTTCTGTGAGAAGCTGCCAGAAGCTTTCCCCATGTCGACAGAGCCAATGCCAGCAGGCTCCAAGGCAGACCCACCACTGGCCAAGGCTGAGCCCTCAGGCTACAGCCAGGAGCTGCTGCTTTCCAGCCAGAGAGTGAAGAATCCAGAATTAAGGACTGAAACCACTAATAATCAGATGACAGAGCAGAGAGTGCAGTTAGATGCTCCCTGTACCTACCTAGAAAGAGACAGGCCTATGAAAATGCAAAAGTGACAAAGTATCAAGAACCAGAAATCCCTGGGAGAGCAAAGAGAAAAATCTTGGGCAGAGAAACAAATGTGCAAAGCATGGCCAAATTTGCACATTCTCATGGAGCAAAGTGGATGAGTTTTAATATGCCAGGAAAAATATTCATTACCAAGTCTGATTACCACTGCTTTTTTTCCCCTCATATTAAAAAAACAACACAACAAAACCACAATTTTTATACTGAAGGATGTTTCATTCCATGATTCACGGTGCAAACTTCCTTTAGAAAAGCTGTGTAGTAATTAACACATTATACTAAAAGTCTCACACGACACAGAAGAAAAAAAGAACTACAAAAATTAGTTTCTGGAGCCTAGATAGCAGTTGTATTTTACACATATAATTACCAATTATTTGCTGTGCCTATATGAAGATGAAATATTAAAACAATACAGTGGATTCAAATATAACAGAAGAACAAAAACATATAGAATCAAATATAGCTAATACATATTACTTACTGTGACAAAGAACACACACAAGTACACACTTTTTCCAGATGACAAAAAATGGCTTAAAATGAAATACACCAAGGACACAAAATTAATTGTAAACTCTGTCAGTAAAGTCTTGCCTGTCTTTCCTCTTTCCACCCACATTTTCTCTTTTTCCATTCCCACCTCTCATATTGCCTTAGTACATCATAATTTTAGTCAAAACTAAGACAGCTTAAAATATGATATGCAAGTAACAAAAACCCCACTAACTTTGTGGCAGCTATCCATGCTCTATTAAGCATTTCACCTAACTCCTTTGCTATCTCCATTTTTAAAATGCCATATCCTTATACTGCCACAATCATGCAGCAATCTCAGGACTTATTTATGACAAAAGTTCATATATTCCACAGTAATAGGAATATATATATTTTACAGATGCAAGTAGGAGTTAGAATTTCAGAGTGTGTTAGGCTGCAAATGCAAAACGTAACCAAAAGTATGTATGCTATTACCATTGGTTAAAACCAGGTGTGGCAGTGTTCTTTATCTCTTCCAAGACTCATCCTCCCTCCAGGGGGATATCTTCTATTAATTGAGTCCCAATGAATGACTGATAAAATTGTATCATCCCACTGAGAGATGCTCCACCCAGGGGAGGAGCCAAGCACTCCTAGCTAGAGAAAATCTGAGACTTAGAACACCACAGTCAACCTTTTTCCACTAAATTCCCAAAAGAAAACCAGACCATTCTACATCACCACTAGACCTCCAGAAAAAAAACTACACCCTCCTATAGGATCACTGCTTCAACAGAACCAAGACTGTCACTCCAGGAAAACTACAGCCACCATCAGACTGCTACCAACACTCTGACCAACAGTGTCAAGTTATATTATAACTCTATGAGTGCTTTTGTACTACTGCATTTTATTTTAATTTTCCTATTAAGTTATAGGGTTTCTTTATTTATACAAGCTAATAAAACTCTCTTATTCCTACTCCCATATCTTTGCATAAAAACCCTTTAATTTCAAAATTTTAATAATTCAGAAAGAGAGAGTTTACATTTTTCATATCAAGAAAGCCTCCTGCCTTCCTTAGGAGACACCTGTTTTTCAAACACAGAGATGAAGTTGGGTGGTCCAGTCACCTAACCAGAAAAAAGGCTTGGACACCACTATTCTGGTGCACAGGCACAACCTAAAAACAACAAAACAGCAACTGTTCACTGAGAGAAATGTATGCAGTTAAATAAAGTAATTCTCATTTTTCTGTAAAGTTGGGTAGTTTTGATGCTACTTTTAAAACAGAATATGACAACACAATCTTCTGGATGGAGTCATTTAGCAGGAAAATTATTTTGCTACAGTTACTTGTTTTCAGTAAAAGAAAAACTGCTATAAAAGAAAAGAATTACACCAGGGAATGATTTTAAGTATTGAGGGAAATGCACTGGAAGCAAAGCACTTGATTCTCATCGCCTCACAATAAAAGAACTGGACTGAAGATTTAGACATAAACTTTCACACTTTAGTCTGGAATAGAAACAAGTTTTCCAAATGAAACAGAGTATCAACCATTTCTAGCTTGGAGTCAGAGCTGATTTGTCTCATGTTACTACCAACTATACAGTAAAAAAGACAAACTGTAAAACTATTAAAAGCAACCAAAGCTCACTGGCACAAAACCAAGTAAGATAAAAGTTGGCTTACCTCTTCTTTCTTAATGTGTTTTACACTCATAAAACACTGAAGCAACAAGTCTTTGACTTCATAACTCTCATCGGAATCATAATCAAAACAAAGTAATGCCTGATGTAGATTCCATACACGAACTATATCTGCACCCTAACAGGAAACAAGAAGCCCACATTAGAGTGGAGTAGGCATGGCTTTAATGCAAAGCAGCATTGAAAGGATTTTAAATAATGAACTTGAAATGCATTGTTATGGATTGTGAAATTATGAGCATTCATTTCATCACAATACTGGGAAAAAATATATGCAACTGCAGAAATTCTAACTTCCAACAAATGAAGACATGCTCAAGTACAGAACAGAAGTTCCCATTCCATGCAAAATATGCTAAAACCACATCATTCCACTTTTTAAGCTTCATACAATGCATGCAGTTAACAGGGAAAAACAGAGGAAAGAAATAAGGATACATGCATCGGGATAGTGCAAAAGATATGTATCACAATACTCCAAGTAACTCACACATTTTGTAAAATGAAAGAAAAATTATTTGTAAAAAGATAAAGAGCAAGAGAAGAAGAAGATTTCCACAAAAGCTGTCTCTATGCTTAGCTGAACATAGTACTAAAATCTGAGTTAATGGAAAGAGTTAATTAGAATAAAAGCCTTGGTCATTGGACTGGACAAAAGACTGAAAAGATGAAAAGGAATGCAAAAAAAACCCCAAAACCGTTCACTTGTGACACTGATGCCAATAATCTTTTAAATTTGTTCTAGAGAAGGCAGTGCTTTATTTCTTGAAATATTTAATAATAACCTGAAAGTCAATATAGCCTCAGCATACCGTAGCAGCTTTATTCAGGCTTTTTCTCAGCAGAATGACAAACAGAGTCTTCCCCAGCTGCTCCTTCCCTTCCAGTCCCTTCTCCCACCACATCTGACACATGCATTGGATAGTGTCACGTAGGATTTTTTCAGATGCAGGTAATGGAGGAAGAATACCTACAAGAATAATGAAACTATTATTTACTGCAATGAACTAAGTCATTCCTGTAAAACAGCAGTCTGTTTGCACACTAACTACACCTCACAATGTCAGCTAGCTCCTGACACATTTACACACCCTCATGGCTTATGTTCACTGCAGCATTATGGCAACGCTAAGGTTTGGCCCAAGTTTTTGAATCAGTGACAAAGGAATATTGAGTTTCCCTTAAAAGTAATATAAGTCAAAGGATAATCAAAGTTATCTTCCACAAGATTAACAGCTGGGAGAAAGAAAACTATTTATATTCCAACTTCTAAATTGTGCAGCTAATTTTTAGGTAAACACTCCCTTAATTTTGTCCCATAGATATGAGCTCAAACCAGTACCAACTTTTCTCCTGTGAATTTTGTTTCATAGGCCAGCTGGATTTCAGTCAGATCAAACAGCCTCTGTAATATGCTCCACTCTGTACGGTACAGAGAAGTACTCACCGTTTAGTATAAAAACGCATTCTACAAGAGCTTTGTAGTTCGTATTTTCATCCACTGCAGGTATGGAAGCAGTAACGACAGCTACCACTCCTTGGATCACTGCTACAGTTTGTTTCTGAAAGAAAGCAATGCTGTGGAAACACTTTGGCAGTTTGTTTTGAACTCAGAAATTAATTCAAACAAGAAATAAACCTTAGCAACAGCCAGCAAAGCTGAATTGTTATTATGCTTCCATTTTGAAGAAGGCGCATACTGGCACCCAAAACCTATCAAATAAGAGGCAAAACAATAGATTTTTAAAGTACATATTTTCAAAATGTTTGAAAAGGGTTTTCAGCTCCAGCTAGTAGATAACTTTGTGACTGTATATGTGCATCCACTCCTGCACTAAAGTCCTCATCTGCAACAAACCCACTCAAACACATATCCATCTCAGAGCTGACAAGCCCCTAACCAGCAGGGTCTTGTGTAACTCAGAGATGTGTACATCTGGTGACTCACTCTAAGTGTGTGATTCTACAGGACTCTGAATGGATGATTAATTTTTCCAGAAGCCTCTAGGTTTCTCTAATGATTTTCCCACTGCATTTCTTTTCTTCCCCTAAAATTAAATAACCTTTTCCAAATATTCTCAAGGCTACATAGACTACAACACAGAAGGCAATATATAAGGGTCTGAGTCAGAAAAATTCTATATATTCTAAATTTGTGGAAGGTGCAGTCAAATCTAGATTTCATGATCTTCATTAAATAAAATATCACAAATCAGGTAGTGAATTTCTTATACTATATTCCAGCGACTTAAAATTAACATCTGCAATATTAACATCTGTTTATTGAAATAAGACATAGAAAAAGCCCATTCAACTCTACAAAGAAAACTAAGTCAAATCTTTCATAATTAAAATTATCAGCAGATCTAGTCTATTACAGTATAGAATCATAAGTTCAGCTTAACTGAGGCATAAATTAAGTCATTTAAAAAACGAGCAGGAAGGTGATATTTGGAGCTGATCTTATTTGATAACCCTTGCATGTTTTCAGATGTTATGGCAATATTCCATTTTATGTCCCAAAAAACATGAAACACTCATCATATTTTCAATTTACAAGAGTCTTACCATTTCTGGAACTATCTCAACTTCCATGTCATCATCACCTTTATCATCTCCACTCCTGTACCATGTTTCCACAGGGTTCTCCATCAGGCTCTCTGTCAATAGCTGTGTCAGTCTCTGCCATAGCACTTCTTTTTGCTTTCTTGGAAATTCCTGAAGTAGCTCATTCAAGTCAAAATGATCAAGTGTATTGTTCTATAAATGGTCAGAAGATTCCACACAATTCTGCATCAGCGAAGTGGCTTATATTTCATCATCATATTTTCTACATTTAATGTGGGTTTTTACATTAATGATTAACTTATATTCCTCTGCAGTTATAGAGATAAAATACCTTCTAGAAGTTCTATTTTTTAAAAATAGCATAAGGAATTCCTGCTAGTTAAGTCTATCATGAAGCAAGAGTGCTGCCTTTAAGACAAAAGTCTTTAGCCCTTGATAGCAATGAAGACAATTCCATACCCTTAGCGAAGAAACTCAAAACTGCACAGAATTTAAGTCCCTGATTATATCTTTACTTTCTTATATATTGATTGATGATGGCTGTTGAAAGAAAATCCTTAGCCAAGGACTGGAAACGTAATGCTCAGAAGAACCATAGGTACAGCACTAATTTAAGATATGATTTGCACACATCAGAGCTCTGCACACTGCAGTGGTTTAAAGCCCCACATCAAACCCAGCTCCTGAGCTGACCCCACACCTCCTGCTGAAGCCCTGCTGACAGGAAAGCCACCATCAGTGTCCAGTAGAGACTGCACCACAAGGCTGATCTGAACTATTTCCTAGTAAGAACTTTTCTAGAAGAATTTACCTCAGAGGCACAAGGAGTCTGTTAGCATCAAAGAAGGATAGGCATCCTGCTAGGAAAAGGAATATGAAGAGAGAAGATGAGAAGGAAAACCAGGCATAACCAAGAGAAAGAACAGATAATTTCTGAGATGTAATTTGTAATACTGAAGTGAAGACTTAGTGGATCAAAACCACTTCAGAGGAAAGAGAATGTCCACCATCTTGAAATAAATATATTTTTACTCTGCAGATACACTGCAAGGCATCAAAAAGAAAAAAGTTGAAGGTAAAAACAGAAAGGAATGAAAGAAGTGGCAATAAGTATTAGAAAGTTCCCAGAAGGGTATGAGAAGAAAGATCCTGTTACATATTTATAAGAGAACTTCTATTCTATTCTACAACTGAGAACAAATACAATAAACCAAAGGCCTTACAGGGAGTTCTGCAGCCCTGTGCTTCAAACAAACCCGAAAGACAGGATATTAAGATTGTACCGTTTTGAACAGAAAGAATGAATTCATAATAAGACCAGAGTTTTTAGATTTTTCTTCAGGATGATATGAGATAGAATTATTCCAAAATCTATGAAGGGAAAGGATGACAGTGAATGACAATCATATCTGTGATTCCTATTTTTCTGTCTAAGAAATTATGTATTTTCTTGAATTGGAATGAGATTTAGTGGAAAAAATTATCAGCACCTCTTGAAGATCTCAATGAACAGCATTACAATATGATGTTTTTAAAATATTACAAAGGAAAAAATGAAAAGCCCATGAGAAACCTTGAAGGAAAATTAGCAAAGCCCTGGAATTTTAGAAAGCACTGATCAATCTAAACATTGAGAGTGCAGAAAAGAAAAAATTCAAGGAGGAAGTAAAATGGGGGTTGGGGCATGTGTAGAAAACAGACTTGGAAGGAAGCAGTGATGCTAAAAACAGAAATTTCAAGAGAATTTAAAAGGCAAATTCTAAGGCTAGAGCACCAACTAAGTAGCAAATATAATGCTTTTATGACGATTTATTTAACTACAGCCTCCTCCACAAAAACAGCCAAGAATTTTTCAAGGGAGATCCAAAAAAGAGGATCCTCATACTAAGACAAGACATGGTCACACATCCTCCATCGCTGAAGGTTTCAAGAGGAAATTAATAAAATAACTTGAGTCTCTTGGACAGTCAAAAAGTCATGTGGATATTCATAGTCCCTTACACTACAACAGCATGAAGACAATTTTTTCAATATACTCATCATAGCTGGTGACATAAAGTTTCCAGAGATATTGGCAACAGCTAAAAACTGTTGCAAGAGAAATCCTGTGAATTTGTGATGAAAAATAAAAGGTTGAAAACCCTCCCTATTTTTAATCCAAATTGCCCATGGCAGATTAAAATAAATTACTGAATACAGATGGCAGAATCAACACAACCAAATCAATTGAAAAGGAAACACTGCAAGTGAAAACTCAAGTGAATAGTTTTTCGCTGAAGTGTTTAGATTTAGGGAAAAACAGGAAGGAGACTTAAAGCAGAGGCAATCTGGTAATAAAGTTGTCATATATAACTACAGACAGGCACACAAATGAAAGAAATAGCAAATTTTTTGGGGAAAGATTCAAGGATGTTTGGAAGACAAACTTTGTAAGCTTATTATATAGAACATGACTGCGAGTTTAGTATAGTTGCTACATTAAATCAGTTCATGCCTCTGTGTGCATAGAGGTCAACAGATCCACTTTATCCTGATACAGGTACTACTAGGAAAATACCCATTAGAAAGCTTAAGAAACTAACTTGACAATACCATTTACGGCAGCAAGCAAAAAGACACTTAGAAGAACTCAGGTATATCTTAAAAATAGACAGAATGAAGCTGAGTGGAAAACACCTCAATGCAAATTATTATTTCTCATTATTATGCATACACATTGTGTATATATATATACACATTGTGAAAACGAGATTTTAATAGCAGATTTCAGGGGATTTGTTTTGTTGTTCCTCCTTGTTCTCTCGGCACTTCATTTAGAGAGAGTAATCTACCCACCCCTTCTCTAAAGCATTCAGAGATAGAAAGAACAATTCAAGTAAAATCAAACAATGACCAAAGAACAAGTGGACAGCCAAAACTATCAAATGAATTAACAAATACTAGTGAAACACAATTCTGCTACGTTTGTACATTAACTCACATTCATTATATACCAGTAAACTCTTTGATAGATTGAAATTTAAAAATGTAATACTTCAGCAACATTAAATTAGTAGTTTTTTTTAATTACCACAGTACTAGTAATTTATTTCTTAAAAACAGTATGTGGAACAATCACATATAAAAATATAATAAATATTATATAATATTATAAGAATAAATAAATTATCATGTAAATAAATATTATATAGTATTAATAATATAACATATTATATATATTATATTATATTATTATAAATATTCATATTTCAGATTCCACAGCTTTTTCAGCCTATGTTCCTTCAAGTGCCATTTGAACTTATTTTCAATAGTAATTATTCCCACACATCTGCAAGTACCAGAAAAATAGTTTCTGTCCCTTTGTCACATGATTTCTGCGCCTGTAACAGACTTTTGACTCCAGAATTGAAGTATGTATACACTGTCTCACTTACAGAATTCTGAGTGTAACGCAGGAAGTCTTCAATGAACTCTTTAGACACAACCCGCAAAAATGCTTTGCATTTCATCCTGGAATTGGCCTTCCCTACTTTATAAACAAAGCATAAAATTAGAGAAGGTACTGTATATCAAAACAAGATCATTTTGGTCTCAATTGTAGTCATATATCAGTTATATACATAGCATTTATATATATGTATGTCATATATTACAGTAGTTATACACTTATTACATAGGTAAAGTAGTTTTCCCCTCCAACATATTTTAGTTATCTGAATCAGCATTTAGATTCACAACATCACTAGGCTGCAGGGCTTGCTTTCTTTTTAGGGTTTTTTTGTTGTTTTGTTTTTGGGTTTTTTGTTTGGGTTTTTGTGTGGTCTTTTCTTTTTTGGTAAATAAGTCTTAGAGTAAATTTTTAATGGATATTTTGATTTTAAAAAAAACACAATGGATTCTCCAGCACACACCCACTATTTAAGCCGGTCATCATTCCCAACAGTATTTATATGTATCAGAAGCACAGAGGGGTAGTAAAATGGTCTCTTTTTTCGACTGTCAAGTGAAAAGCATAGGAAATGGGCAAGGCCACCAAGAGCCTTATTTGCTCACGTAAACATTCCCTCCATCCTAAGTGTCTCCTGACGTGCTTTTCCAGTTGGGAAAGTGACTTACATATATTTAGAGTGGGTGAAGCCACACCACAGAGCAGGGCAAGGGCCGCTCCTGGGCCCCGTCCCGAGTCACCGGGGGGCTCCCGCCAGGCCCCGGCAGAGGAGGCAGCGGGAAGCCGGACGAGCCGCTTACCTCGGGCTCCCTCAGAGCGGCCGAACCCTCATGGACCCGCGGAATGCGATTCCAACACCGCGGCGCCGCCCCAGCGGAGCGGAACGAAGCCGGCGGACACGCGTGTTGAAGATCGCACGGCAGCACCGCCGGAGGAGACACCGGCCCCGGGAGCCACTCAGAGGCGACACCCGTGGACAGCCCGGGACACCCGTGGACAGTCCGGGACACCCGGGGACAGTTCCCTCCCTCACCCGCCACTTTTCGAATCCTCCCGCGGCTGACGTTGAGCGCGCGCCGCGGAACTCCCGCCACGTCTCGCGAGAGCTCGGCCACCGCCCCCGCCCCTTCCCGCGCGCGGCACGGCTGAGGGCGGGGTGGGAAAAAGGCGGTGCTGGTAAGGCGCCCGGGCCCGGGTTTCGCGTTCAAAACTCGGGGAACCAGAGACAGCTAGGCTGGAAGAAGCTTCCCAGGTCATCGAGTCCAACCTATGACCAAACATCACCAGGTCAGCGAGACCATGGTACTGAGTGCCAGGTCCAGTCTTTCCTAAACACTTCTTGGTACCGTGACTCCACCACCTCCCTGGGCAGCCCGTTTCAGTCACCCTTTCTGTGAAGAAATTTCTCCTGATGTTCGAACCTCGTCTGGCGCAGCTTGAGGCTGTTCTGGCGCAGCTTGTCCTGTTGTCCTGGCTACTTGGGAGAAGAATCCGACTCCCAGCTGGCTACACGCTCCTTTCAGGGAGCCGTAGAGAGCGATAAGGTCCCTCCTGGGCCTCCTCTTTTCGAGGCTGACCCCCCCGCCCCGGTTCCCCAGCCACTGCCTGTAGGATTTGTGCCCCATCCCCTTTTCCGGCCCCATCGCTGAGCAGCGCCTGTGCCCGCAGCGCCCGGCCCGGCCCCGGCAGCGGGGCTGCGCTGCTCCCGGCAGCTTCGGAGCTGAAAGGCTCCTTCCTCCGCTGCTTTCTGAGACAGGCTGGCTGGACACGCGGCTTGTCCCGGGGGAACATCCCATCAGTTACCGAAAGGCAGCTGCCGTGGTTCAAACCCACCGCCCCGCTCACTGTTCCCTTTCTTTACCTACCTGCACTGTCAGTGTTTCCAAATGGGGGTAAGATAAGACATGCTCAGTTAAATTCATGTTCATGCTTAAGAAACAGTGTTCCTTCTTCCATGGATCTCTAGTAACGTGGACTAACTGCTTTTATAAAAACATCACTGTGAAAAACAAACTTGACTCTTTAATTTTTTTTAAAGTTTAATAAGGGATAAAAGGGACAAAATCCAGCGCTGGGGTGCTTGGCTATCTGCCAAAAGCACACCCTTAGCTTGAAACAATATTTTTTATATCCTGTTACATTAACTAGGGGTGACATGCATATTTATAAGAGCCTATATATATTCAAACATTCCTTTGAGTTTAGATGTTCTTTTGCTTAGTTTTAACCTTTGACTTGTCTTCACGCCATCTTGTAGATTAAATTTATATGTTTTATTTCTTCTCGTGGTTCTGTCCTGTTGTTTTTACACTCTGATAACGAGGAGTTAGTAAATTGGGTTCTGGTTTTTGTCACTGTTATCACTCAGTCTACAAACGTGACAAACTACTTAATTATCTTACACTAGTCTCTGAGTTAGTTACATAAAAGCATTTTAACATCACATAGTCCATTTTAATATTACGCTACGGCCTAAGACATAATACATTTATCAAATTACTATTTATAGAAGCTATATGGTGCATATATAAACTCACATATTATACTATCCTAAAAAGCAGTTAAAAGAAAATACAAATTGTACCATATCAACATCTTTGTGGTTAATAATAATATGCTAAAGCTAATACATAAATTGAAAGCCAATACTATATTGCCATTTATAACATCATGCATTTGATTTCACTGGTGGCTTTTTTCTCCAATAATGTTATTGATGCTCTTGCTGACAGCTGTGCTTTTACTCACAGTCCTGGTAAACAATATGAGTACTTTGCACTCTTCATCCAAAGCAATCAAGAGTTAAACAGCCTGTATGCCTGAATGTGTAGGAGACTATGTAAGGCAGATGATAAGAGTTTGGATAACTAAGGATTTTTTTTATTATATCAAGAAATTATGTCTTCTGTTTCTTCTTTGCAGTGTTTGGAAATAGAGTCAGATCTTGAATTCTGTAATATTCCTCATTCCATTTGTTTGAGCTCTTCTGCAAACCAAAACCAGTAAAAATGTCTTGTTAAGGGCTTAATTTATATCTTTCCCTTTGGCATTTTCAGTAGCATTTCTCAGTTGGCTGTTCAGAAGAGAGAGGTGCATAACTGAAGTAATTCACTTTCAGTCTGTAGAAGCAGTACAGCATGTGCTGGTTTACTGTGCAGACAAACAGAAAACCAACTATAAGTTCTATAGAAATTTTCACATCTGGTTAGATTTTTCAGGATTGTAATTTTAAAAAATATGATGTAATTCAGATTTTATTTAGTATTAAATGTAAAAATTCACTCATTTAAAAGTAGCATTTACATCTTCTGCTGTTTTATTTTTTAACATATAACCTTCCCTAATGGCCCTGCCTTTCACAGTTTCAGTTTATATTAAAAATTAAGATATTTTCATTTTCTGCCACATTTATTTGATATAAGAATCCAGTTTGTTTCAGATGCTGTACACCTGACTATTTCCCAAGTTAGATATTCAACTAAGTGCAAGGAGTCTGTGAAACAGTTTGCTTGGAGTAAGTTGCGTGAGCAATCAGCATACCTGGAGAATTGTAAAAACAAATAAAGAAGTATACCACCTGCCATTTATACATTGTGTTAATGTATATTATATATACATACAATATATGTCTGCCTATATTAAATTTTCTGCATATATTAAAAATCTTTGCCATTTTAGATCCAAACTGATGGATTTATTTATCATGACTCACGTAGACTGAATATTTCATTAATACCTTGATTAGTCTTTTAATTAGATGCTACATTAGTCACCTGGTTACTGTTTATTTAGTTGGGCACGTATCCATTTAGCAAACAAACTAAAACATATTTTAGCTTTTAATTTCTGTTGCATAGCAACCACAGAATCTTTTTTTTTCATAGTATTGAAACTAGAAGTTGATACAGATAATGACAAGCTGAATAACACCAAGTGATTCATTTTAAAGGACCACATAGAGAAACAAGAGAGGCAGAATAATTTTTTCTAGGTTTTTTCAAGAACTGAGCATGAACTGCAAGCCAGTAATAAACCTACAATTCTATTTTCAGTTTCTCTAATATTCTCCCTTTCAAGAGGACCAAATTACATGCCTCTCTTTGACATATCTGTTCATCTGTTCAAAATAATCTATACCCTGTGATAATAATCTAATATTTATTATCATTTTCCTGTCAAGTTACGGTAAAAATGAAAAATGGGCCTTTCGCACATGGTTGCTGAGCAACAGCAAATAAAGATTTGCTTTTGTGCTACTGATTCATGAACCAGTCTTTATTCTTGTTGGTGGCCTGCATTAGAGATCTCGGTTACAGATGGCTCACACCAGAATATTGTTGTTTGGGCTAGAGCAAGCATTCCATTTCAACCTCTAAGAGTCAACAATATAAATAAAAAATAAACAAGTAGCTCTCTGAATGTCAGATGCTTTCTTGACAATATTTTCTTATATTTACAATGTTATTTTGTAGATAATAGTTTCTTATGAGATTATTTCACTCGTTATTTACTACCATGTTGCAGTTGTAACTTCTATTTCTTTTTCTTTGAATATGTAATAAAATTTGTTATAGTTAATACAGTATGAACAAAATCTGCTCATCCTCTGAGGCAGGCTGTTAATAATTTACATGCATGCATTTCCCTTGATTTTTTTTTGATCTTCACATACTTTGATAAATAATCCGAACAGCATGGGAGAGAGATGAAGTTTCACACTATTCCACTTCTCCAGATCTCCCCTTGCCTGAAGGTAATCCTGCCAATCATACCATCCTTTATTCAGAGGCAACTGTCACTTCTCAATGCTGGTGTGATTAGACCGTGAAAAGGCTTATTTCCCTTAAATTATTAATATTAACATGAATCAATTTTAGAGTTTAAGAGATTAAGTAGGAAAAAAAAAATGACTGCAGAAGAAAAAAAAATTATCCTTGTTAACTCACACAAAAATAAGGAAATAAAATGTGCAGAGGGAATGCAAAAGCTGTTCGGGAGAGCCACTCCCTGGAGTCGCTGCCGACGGTACCGAAGTCCTGAAGTGCCGCCCGGCGGGAGCTCCCCGCTACTGCCGGGGTCTGCAGGGATCCACACCCTGCTCAATTTAAGCTGGGAAAACACAGTAAATTCATTTTCTTTGCTTTGTTATGACAAAATACTTAGTTATTATATCATGAAGAGGGCTGGAGCACCTCTCCCATGGAGACAGGGTGAGAGAGCAGAGGGTGTTCAGCCTGGAGCACTGAAGGCTCTGGAGAAACTTTAGAGCATCTTGCAGTGCCTAAAGGGTTTACAAGCGAGGAGAGGGAATTATTGTAAGAGCATGGAGAGATAGGACAAGGAGAATGGTTTTAAACTGACAGAGGGCCGTTTTAGATTAAATACTGAGAAGAAATTCTTTATTGTGAGGGTGGTGAGACGCTGACAGAGACTGTTTGGAGAAGCTGTGGATGTCCCATCCCTGGAAGTGTGCAAGGCAATGTTGGTTGGGGCTTTGAGAAACCTGGTCTAGTAGAAGGTGCCCCTGGACATGGCAGGGGTATTGGAAATAGATGATGTTTAGAGTCTCTTCCAACTCAAACCGTTCAGTGGGCCTATAATTATTATTTCCTGTATTATTATGCCCTTACTGTTATCACTTGTTCCTTTTAAGCAGTGTTGCAAGTCATTATAATTTTTCTTTGCTCCCTATTAGTACCATGAAAATGGAAAGATTTCTGAAATGTTATAAGATGCTCACAAAAAGAAATTACAATGGCAGTATTTGCATAGCTGAATCCATCCCACTGTAAAAAAAGGGAGTGTAATTTTTCATTACAACTAAAGCAAACATTTTCTAGTATAAAGTCACTGTCATCTCCCAGAATGTTATGTATCATTGAGTAAATTTATAATACTAGTTTGTCAGTTAATTTCAGATATAAAACACTCCAATTACAAATGCCATGTCTGTATTACTTTAACCCCATTAAATTACAT